AAAATAAAATCTACGCAGTGAATTATTAATATTATATAGTTAATCACAAATAATGAAAATATGGCATTTTACATTATTTTAAAATTCTTGCAATGATATTTAAATTCAAATTAAAAAATTTACATTTTTTTAAAATTTTATAATCATGTATTAAACCAATTAAATAATAAAACATTTTTTAATTATAATGTAAGCATTTAAAATTTTTTACCTTGCTTTAAAAACATAGAAAAATTAGTTATATAAATATAATAAAAAACATTTCACAATTTATTTTATAATTTAATAATAGATAAATACATACTTGATAAATTAATTATAATATGTAGAAAAAAATCATATTTAAAAATTTTGGATGAAAAAAATTAATTAAATTAAAATGAATTTTTTTGAAGCTTTTATTGAAAGATATAAAACAAAATTAGATTTTTTGGACGGTTTTTATCATTATTATTCTAAGCTAAATTTTTTTTTATGTAATTTGAATTAAGAAATAACACATATAACCAAATCACTAGATAAGATGATCACAAATGGGAAATTAATTGCTTTGAAAATCTTAAAGTCAGAAGTAATTGATAAAATAAACTGCATAATGAAATTAATACAATAATTTTAATATTTTGATAAAGTTTATATTATTTTCATTTATAGACTTATGTAACATTTTCAAATTAGCATCATAATACTAAATATTTTATTTTCTTTAACATTAAGGATTTCTACATTAGATTTAATTATATTAGTAATTGTTGATAATACATTTTCATCTATTGTAAAGTTTAGCATTAGTTTTTCTACTTTTAATTGCTTCATACCAATATCGTCATCACCTTCGTACTTATTTGCATTAGATTTATAATATTTAATTACACAAGTAGAATTTGTATTAGTAATAGATTAAAACATTCTTTAATTTATTTCTAATAAAATTTAATTGTATTATGTATCCAATAAAATAAAAAGTTAGTTTGATAAAAATAAGTAGCTATTCATAGACAATTAGAAATGATCAAATTATTATTCCAGTCCTAATTTCCATAATCTATAAAGTTAAAATTTAGAGAGATCTTCGTTGTATAAAATGATTTATTTGTTTTTATGAATATATTTAGGAAATCTTCTTGTTTTCAATTTAGATATTAACATTTAAAAAGAAATTTCTAAAGTATTTTGACTTTTAAATTAAAAATCTGAAACTCTTCTAAATAATTTTGATAACTTATTTGAGAATGATGTTCTTTAAATATTTTAATCTACTTGTGTAGTTTCACAATATGTTCCAATTCCCAACATGACAGTTACAAAGGTCTCTTAGGCAGCATCATAAAGTGATTTACTAATAACACAAAAAGTTTAAAGTAATTAGAATTTAAAAGGTAATCCGCCTTAAAAAATATCATTTTTATCCATCTCACTTTATAAATTATTTAATTCTTGTATGAATTAATTAGCAAGATTACCTTAATTTTTTAAGAAATTTGCAGGATTTACTTGACATCTTATCTAGAAATATCAAAAATTTTTTACTTATTGACTTATTGAATCTCCAAATACAGTAAATAATTCTTTAATATGAAGATCGTAATTTGCATCCATAAATTATTAATAATCTTTTTTCACATATTGTTAAAATTCAAGGTTTAATTTTTAAAATTAATTAAGAACAAAAGTGATTAAGCTAATTATAAATATTAAATTAAATACCCTGCTTTATGATGTAGGGTCTTAAGTTCTTATTCAATATTCAACAAATTTTTAAACCTCATTTTTATCTAAAAAGGTCTAATTATAACTTTATCTATATGAATTTTTTTTGCTTAAATTTATATTTGTTTATCACTAATGTTTGAATTATTTAACTTATCAAATGATTGTTACAATAAAAGCGACTTGAATTTTTATTTTGGAGTATCAAAAGCATCTAGTAATTGTTTAGTATGTTTAATAAAAGAAAACACTTATAATAATAAATTACTATCCACAATAATTTTGTAATTTGGAATTCGTATTTTTACGTATTTTAAATGCACCAAAATTTCAGAAATAGTTTTTTGCTTGATTTTTAATTTTAATTATTCTCTATGTGATGAGGAAGTGTCTTGCATTATTTATGATTAAATTAATGGCTTTTTTTATCCAGTAGATTTATTCAAACTGTTTATTTAATTGTTTATGATGTATAATTATCTTTTTGGTATTGGTAATCCACATGCATCAAGTTAAATATTTTCAGCTGATATCTAATAAGTTACAATATCAGTCGATTATTATTATTAAATATACTAGGTTTTATTCACTTCTGCATATAAAATTTCCCATTCATCAATAAATGAAAATCCTATTAAATCACAAGTTATTTTATATGATTTTTTTTTCTTTTTTAAGGATTCAGCTTCAGCTAAAACAATCACTTTTTATAATCCATCATTAAATATTTCTAAACTATATTCTTTATCAATAGTTGAGTCTATTTGTTTATCAATTTGTAATTCTTAATTGTTAAATCTATCAATATCAATTAGAAACCTTTTTGTTTAACCCTCATAATGAATTTCTAATTATAATTATGGAGCTTAAAAAGGATCCTCCCAACAAAAGCCTGAAGATTTTCCAGGTTCTAAGACACATTATTATTTTTCAAAATTTTATTAATAGAATATTATTAGTTAGGAACATCTGTTTTTTATTAAATAAGGTGCTTTCGGTAATTATTCTATTTGATAAATGATAATTTAATTTTAATTTCTATTTATGATTGAAAGTAAATAATATATAGTTTTTAATTTATGATCTCTATTATCAGTTTTCAAAAAAAATGTCCTTTCTTCTTTAGTTTTAATTACAGAACTATATCTATAAAAATTTCTTTGAGAGGTAATTTTAAATGCCATGACTTCAGTGCATCTAACAAATTTACTTTCTTTTTCATTTATATATTATTCAATGCCATTCAAATTAAATAATAATTTTTAAACAGTTAAATTTACAAATATGTATTTTGTACTCTGTTCAATAGGTAAATAATCTCCTAAAATCTCAGTCACAAAACGTTACTTTTCAGAAACATCAATTTCGCTTGCAATTCTTTTAATTGGGTCTTTATCAGTTTATTAATTTTAAAGAATTTCTTCTTCTAATAATGATTTTTATTTTTTAAAACTAGGTGTTTATTATTTCATTTATGGAGATGGATCTTAATCATGAAATGTAACATGTCGTGAATGTAATGTAGTTTTTTCATTAGAAATTTCATCATCAGAATTAGCAGTTTATAATTATATTCTATATTTAGTTTTATAATGTTAGGAGTGTTAAATTTCTACTTAATCGACTAACAATTTTGCAAAATCATTTTCAATTTCAATTTCAAATTTTTGTGTTAAAGATTGTTTTTGTACAACAATCTAATCTTAGGAATTATTTAAATCTTATAATAAAAACTACTTAATTTATAATGAATGCTGATTTAATTGGCAAAATGTAAATATGAGTTATGGAGTTATATTAAATAATAATTGATTAAATTTTGTTTCAAAGCATAATTCTTCTGAACTTTTTTAGAAAGTTATAATTGCTTCACAAGTTTCCAAAATAGGTTCATAATTTTTGAGTTTTCCATTAAAATATAATATATTTAAAATAAATTTGCAATTACATGTTGTATCCCATGAAGATACAGAATTATTTATTTCTAAAAAAAATGGTTTATCAGATAATTTCTCCTTATACATAATTTTGAAAGGTAATTAACTTTGAAGGTTGAAATTATTTAGATATGCTGCTAAGTAATTTTAATTAGTTTCTTTGATATTTTATAATTCTAATTTAATCTCTTTTATTGATATTAAATAATAAATTTGCAATTCTTTTATCCTTAATAAAAAAGGTAGCAAATTAAGCATATCTTCATTTATATGAGCCATTATATCATCAGATTAAGGACCTGAATATTTTTTCAATTTTTTTAATTAATGTAATTTATATATTGATAAAGTAATAGTATTAATATCTAACTATAATCCAAAATGTTTGACTTTAAATGCTTTTTAAATTGTAAGATTAATATTTTCAATAAAAAAATATGAATTTCTTTCATTATTTTTTTAAATTGCAACTTTGATTTAAAATTTTTGTAATTCAAATACTGCTTTTAATCTTAAAGACTCAAGAAATTTACTAATTTTTGGATCAGCTTCTTTAAATATTTTGTTAACTAAATAATTGAGATTGATTCTAATTTTATTCCATTTTTTAAGCATTTCTTCTCTCTTCTCTTAAGGAGATACTTATTGTCTACTGTGATTTATTGATTAAATAAAAGGAATATTAATAAATTCTTCAGCATCATAATATATTTCACTAGTTTAAGAAGAACAATCTTCCCTTCTGGATGATTAATCTCTTTATTTAGACCAAGACCTTGATCTTTTCCTTCTATTTACTGAATTGACTGATGATGATTAATTAACAGAATCTTCCTTTTATAAAAATATTGAAATCTTTTTTAAATTGTCTAAAGTTCCTAAAACATTGTAAACAAAATTTTTAAAAAAATCTGTCTTCAATATAGGAATTGTTATAAATATATCGCTAATTTTGTTTTCAAAAATAAGGTCAGTTTATTCAGTCGATGTTCCTTCATCTTGATTTTATTATTATTACACTACTTTTGTTGTTAATGAAACTGGTTGTAATATATGAATAGATTATTTACTATTCTTTTCAACATATTAAAAATTTATAGCAAATTTATTTATTTATTATATCACTGTATTATGAAATTATAAAAGGTAATTTTCTAAAGTGATTTCTAAAACTGGACAATTTGTTTTAATTGCACTTTCAGGAATTCTTATTGTAACATGAGATAGATTAATGTCTATTATTAAACTATTTGCTTTGCATAATTTAGATATCACATTTACAAATTCACTTTTTTTGAAATTACCTTAACTTATGAAGACTATGTCATAAAAATAATCATTTTTTCTTAATTGTTTAAGAAATGGCTATAGACGTGCTAAAACTGTATCATTTAAAGACATTAAATGAGGTAATGATTTAACTTTAAAAATTGATTTATTCACTTCTTTATTGTATTCAAAAGAAGTTTCGATTTATGATTATTCTTAACTTAAATACTGATTTCTTTAAGATCTTTCAATATAGGAATGATAACAAAAAATGGTTTAAAAATCCTTATTTGGGTTTAAACAATCATATGCAGTGATTCTTTTAAATTTCAATATAAATTTTCTGATCTTTTAAAATGATTCATACTATAAAAGGGATTCTTATAACTCTATTTTCATAAACACAGTAGATCTTTCTTAGGCTATTTTGAGATTAATCTAAATAAAATAAAGAAATACCAATATATTTGAAATTCTTATTTCTAGTCTTTTCAAACATCTATTTTCATTTTAGCTTATTTAGGTGTACAACTTTTCATATTTAGATTGAAATTCTGTACCCTCTTCTGGTTATTACTTTTATTTCCAAAAATATGACCAAATAGTTTATTTTTTTTCTTATTATTATGGTTATTCTAGATTCATTTTGACTAGAATATCTTTCAATTATTCTGGAGAGTTTAATATTTTACTCACTTTATAAAAAACAAGTTCTATTTCTTCTTATAAGAGTTTTTCTTCTAATTATTATTTATTTTGCATCATTTCTGTATATAACATCATTTAATCTTCATATTAATATTTATTATCATCATTTTGTTAATATTATTAATGAAGGAAATCAACAATAATGTATTTAACTAAATCATTTCTCATTTTAGCTTTTAATGCTATTTTTTATTTATTAATTCTTTATCTCATAACTTTAACAATTTCTTTCCAATAAAGTAGCCATTCGGAAGCATTATCTTTGGGACTAGATTTATATTATGGTCTATATTATAAATGATCTCCTTATTGACAATACCATTCTCTTAATTTTAATAATTTAAGAATAGTTTAAAATTATTAATCATCAATATTTAGTTTAATCTAATATTATAGATAATAAGATTACATCATCACCAAATTAAATTTCAATATATTTAAGAGGGATTTCTTCTTATTATGTTAAATTAGTGTGGATAAGTATTCTAAATTATAATGGATCTATTAAAATATTCTATATAATTATAATTATTATTATACTTGCTATTCAAGGTGATCAGGTGAAATACCAGTAGATTGTTTAGATATAGGTTCAATTTTTAAATACATTGTTAAAGCTTCAACAGAAAAATCTAATTTTCTTTTAATTTCTAATTCATTTTTATTATTATATGAAGGTTATAAGGTTAGAGTTTTAAATAATACACCTAATGCTACACGATTGTGCTTTACAGCATTATTTTCATCTTCTAATCTGAGATGAAAATTTTAAACTTCTAAGATGATCATTTCAGAAAAGAAATTTTTGAGAACTCTTTTAAGTTTGCTTTATTTTTTTGTATTAGTAAAATTATTAAAGAGTTTCTTGTAGCAATGTTCAATGAAATCTTTTAGATCATTTTAGTATTATAGACGTATTAATTCAAGAGAGAATTCATTTCTTGTTTATACACAAATATAGGCATCTTTGACAAGTATTTTGGTTGGTTCTTTCCAAATTCTATTCCATGGAATTTTAAATTATAATAATTCAATTTCAGCTCTCTTTACATCTACATTTAATCCAAAATATTCCATCATCCATTCTCTTACTTTATTTTATTTAAATTTTAGGTTTCTTTTCTCACCAACTCCTTACCATTTGTTTATTTCAATTTCATTGTTTGGAAAATCCTTGATATAAATAGAATCATTTAGAATACCTCAACTAGATCACCGCAAATATTAAATAATAATTTCCCGATCCAATTTTATATCATTAATTATTTATTATTTATGGCAAATTATGAATAATATAATTATATTATAATTAGTTATAACAATAAATTAAAAGCTTATTGCAATAAAATCTATAATTATAACTTAGAACAATTTATTCATAATCTAAATCATTTTTTGGACTATTCCAATTATTCTTCTGAAATTTATCTCTTAAAATATGATTAATTTTACTTTAATGAGTTCTTCTTCAAATCTAATCACTTTTTAACCAGCTTCAAACGTTCTTATTATAATTTATATTATATCATAAATTTAACTAATAAATTAACTAATATCTTTGTTATTATTATTTTGTAATTCAATGCAATGTCTTTATAACATTAATTGTTTAGTAAGTTCAAATTCAAGTTTAGTCATTCTCACAATATTTTTTAAACCAATTCTGTATTTTAAATCTTTTCCTTTATCTTAACTTATGCATATTTCCTTAAATTACAAGATATACGTTACCTTAAATAGTTTCCATTCATACATCTCACTACTAGTTCTGTAAAATACAACCATTATCCATTTAAATATCATTTGTATTTTACTATCCAAATTTGAAAAATCAAACTTTGCTATAAATTGATTAGATGCCTACCTAAATTTTCTATATTCAATTGTTCAGATAATTGTTATCTTATATTATTTTAAAGGATTATATATTCTTTATCCTCTGTTACTTCCTATTCTAAATAATCTTTGGATTCAAATGCAATTTATTCTAATTTTCTGTTTGTATCAACTGTATGTATGTCAGTAATTGATATATATTAACTATTAGTTTTCATATGTGGTTAGTTATCAATTTCTGTATGACATGTAAACTAATCATAGGAAACCTTTCTCATGCTTTTATTTATATTATATTTTATATATATATATATTATATTATATATTATTATTATATATCATTATTATTATTAAAATGTCCATAGTCAATTTAGATGAGACAGAATAACATCAAAATTAAGAATTTAAACAGTCTCAAGAAATTCAAATTGATATCATTACTTTTGATTAACACGAATCCTTATTGGAAACATATACATACTACATTATTAAAGGGAAAGATAAAATTGGATTTTTTGAAGTCTATAGAAGATATAAAGATTTTACAGCTTTAAGAGATGCATTATAATTAAAATGGCCAGGATGTTTCATTCCAGGCATTCCTGGCAAAAAAATGTTCCAAGGAAATGATATTAAAACTGCATCAGAACGATTAAGATTCTTAAAATAATTCTGTCATAAAATCAAATTATTGCCAAATCTTTACTACAGTTAAGAATTTAGTCAATTGTTTTTAAGATCTAAAGACAGAGATATTCATAAAATTTTGTATTTAGATAAATTTATATTAATAGCGAATAAATGTAAAGACCAAGGACTGCAGAATTGATTTAAAAATATCAACTCAATTTTATTGATTTATAAGGAGTACTATATTATTTCAATTTAGAGAGAAATTGATTAAAGTCTTGATAAAAAAATTGAAGGTTTTGTAGAAAAATTGAAAAATAACACAATTCAGCTAAAATTAGCAAAAAAGTATATTAGAGATGTATACGAATCATAAGAATAATTTAATTAAGGTTTGGAGAAGATTATGATCGTACATCTTCCAAATTATGAAAAATAATTTATTTAAGCATACTAAAAAAATGAATCCCATAACTTATTATTTACCAATTAAAATATTAAGAATTAACTGGATTCAAAGTATAATTAAGATGCCATTTTCAAACGTAGAAATATTGACAAACTTTATGATTATATTCGATAAGAATTGAAAGATATTAAGGTCTTGTATTGTAATTAATTAAACCTAGGCATTTCATTAAAGTTTGAAAATTAAAAAAGAGTATGAAGAGCAAAAAAAGAAATTAGAAGCAAAGTAGTTAGAAACATAGTAAGAATTAAATAATTTAAATGATGGTAAAAATCCAAACTTTTTTAAGAATATATTTAATAAATAAACTCCAGAATAACTTAAAAGTCATTTAAACATTTTGATTCAAACCAATTAAAATGATTTAGATAATTTATCAAATTTAATTGATATAATGTAAGCAATAATAGGATTTATAGAAATTGAACGATTTTAAGATATGAAATTAAAATTTTATTCAATTCTAATCAAATAAGTACAAGAATTAGAAGAAAGAGTAATTAATGAGTAGATTTAATATTGGTAATTTATTGAATCACAAACATAAATTTTATTAAGCCAATAAAATCTTGATGGAAATATAAATTTTTAAAATCAATAATTAAATTAAATAAAAGGCTAATAAAAAAATGATGATTAAGAATAGATGTAGTCTTATCAAAATAAAGTTGATATTGAGAATGATAATGATAAATAGGATAATCACTATGAGATAGATAAAGAAGAATAAGAGAAAGAATAGGATAATGAGAATGAGAATGAGAATGAGAACGAGAATATTTAAGAATAAGAAGATGAAGTTTAAGTGAATATATCTTAAGAATAAATAGAAGATGAAAATTAATGATAATATATTTATCAAAGAGGGATCATTATAATAAATTAATAAAAGTTTAAAATAATAATATTTTTATAAATATATAAGAATTTTGGAATATAAAAAAATGAATTCATATTCTTAAAGAAAAGATTAAAGTAATTTTGCAGAAAGAAATAGAAATTCTTTTATTTATGAATACCTATTGTTAAAAAATATTTCTAAAAAAAGAAGAAAATACTGATATATTTTAATGCATTCCAAAACGTATGCCTAACTAGAATGGTTGAATTAAAATGTATAAAAGAACTAAGAATTAGGAAATTATTTCGATGTAGACACATTGATAAATTATTCAAGAAATATAAATGATCATTTAACGATTAAGGAGGAGTGTGTTTAAGAAATAATGAATATAGTCCATGGATGACGTGATTATCCACTTATGAATATGAAAAAGAAATATGATAATATGATTCAAGATTTGAAGAAAATACTTTTGTAACTGAAGATGTTTTTTATAACAATATGATGTATCTTATTTAAATAAAGTGTTAACAGGCTATGAGATATCAAAACAAGCTAAATTAGATATCAAATAAAAAATATACTCAGGATTGTATTAGAGATCATACAAATTTAAAAAATTTAAAGAATTTTAACTTCTATAAATTTATTTAAATGGAATTTGAGAAGAATCGACATCTCTTTTGACCTGTGCTTTCTTATTTATTCTATTTAATTTATTAAGTTTAATTTCTTATATGTAAGTATAGTAATATATACCCTATATATCTATCAGTGATTTAATTGAATCAAAATAATGAAATATTTTATTTAGAATTGATATGAAATTTCTGTACGATATAGAAGTTTAAAAGAATTAAGTTGTTTGGTTTAATGTTTTTAATAACAATATTATTGAATAATTTATTAGAGAAATAAATGATAAAACAATGTATACAGAAAATATGGAAAATTAAAAAAGAATTTAGGTATTTATATTATAAAATAAAAATAATGAAAATTTATTTAAAATATTTGAATGGATAACAACTTTTAATTGGCAAACAAATAAGCTTGTTTAGATTAATTAAGAAAATTAGGAATAGATTATATATCACATGATCATGATCCGGCTCCTACAATAGAAGAAGTATTAAAGATAAAGGTTAGTGATGGTACAGCATATGTGAAGAATTTATTGTATGTAGATAAAAAGGTAAGAGAATGTATAATAATGAATTAGTAAAATTATTATTTAATATTGGCTAATCATACAACGTAAGTAGGGAAATAGTTTTGGAAAACACTTGGATTATCATCTGGAAATATGAGATTAAGTAAAGAGGAATAAATAGGTGAGGCTTTGAAATCAAGTAAAGGTAATGTTAATCCTTTTGCTGTTGCTAATGATACAAATAATTTGGTATTGATAATAGAATATATAAATAGGTGAAAAATATTATAATAGATGAAGTATTAAGAAAATATTAGAGATTAGCATTACATCCAATAGAGAATACAACAACAGTTGAAATATCACTTGATGATTTATAAAATAAATTCTTGAAAATATTGAATAGATAATTTACAGTTTTATAATTAACAGATGAAGCAGCAGAATAAAAACAAGAATAATAATAGAAAGAATAATAGAAAGATTAATAAAATTTATAGACATTAGCTATAACAGTAAAGAAATCAGATTTTTCAGAATGGTATTAACAAGTGATAAGGAAAGCAGAATTAATTGAATATTATGATGTTAGTGGATGTTATATATTGAGACCATGGGCATATTTTATATGGGAATAGATATAAAGATTTTTTGATGATTTAATAAGAACAGAAGAAGTTGAGAATACATATTTTCCAATGTTTTTATCAGGAAAGCATTTAAATAAAGAGAAAGAACATGTAGAAGGGTTTAAAGCAGAAGTAGCATGGGTAACAAAATATGGAGAGAGTGATTTAAATGAACCATTAGCAATAAGACCAACATCAGAGACAATAATGTATCCAGCATTTGCAAAATGGGTATAAAGTCATAGAGATTTACCATTGAAAGTGAATTAATGGACAAATATAGTAAGATGGGAATTTAAGTTTCCTACTCCATTTATAAGAACAAGAGAATTCTTATGGTAAGAAGGACATACAGCTCATTCAACAAGAGAAGAAGCAGTTAAATAAGTTTATACAATATTAGATTTTTATGAATAAGTTTATGGAGAATTATTAGCAGTTCCAGTAATTAAAGGAGTATAAATAAATATAATATAAAATAGATAAAAACAGAATCAGAGAAATTTGCAGGAGGAGATTTTACTACTACAGTTGAAACTATAATACCATAAAATGGTAGAGGATTATAAGGAGCTACATCTCATCATTTAGGATAGAATTTTAGCAAAATGTTTGAAATTAACTTTGAAGATGATAAAAAATAGAAATCTTTTGTTTGGTAAACAAGTTGGGGTTTAACAACTAGATCTATTGGTGCAATGATAATGTTTCATGGTGATGATAAAGGTTTAGTATTACCACCTAGAATTGCTAAATATTAAATTGTTATTATACCTATCATTCATAAAGATCTTCATGAATAATAATTAAATGAAAGATGTGAATAAATTAGATAAATGTTAATATCATTTTTATTTATTTAGATTGATTAAATAAAAATTAAGAGTTCATCTTGATAGTAGAGATAATTATTCACCAGGATGGAAATTTAATAAATGGGAATAAAAAGGAGTACCTATTAGATTAGAAATTGGACCTGGAGAATTCAAAAATAACGAAGTTAGAGTTGTTTAAAGATACGACAATTAAAAATATTAAATTAAATTAGAAGAATTAAATTAATTAAATTAGATTCTAGATAATATACACAATGCAATGTTACATAAAGCTAGATTTGATTTAAATTCAAGAATTAAATAAGCTGAAAATTGGAAAGATTTTATGTCACAATTAAATCAAAGAAATACTATTCTAACAAAATGGTAACTATTATTATATTTATATTATTTATAGGTGTTAAAGAGAAGAATGTGAAAAATAAGTTAAAACTAAATCAGGAATTGAATCTAAAGAAAAAGATTCAGAAGTTGATGGATAAATCTAACTTACTGGTAGTGCTAAAACTTTATGCATGCCATTATAATAAGATTAAATTTAAGAAGGTGAAATATGTTTCCATTGTGGATAATAAGCCAAAAAATATGTTCTATGGGGAAGATCATATTGAATTATTAAATATACAATTATAATAATATACACACATATTAAATTATTAACATATGAATAAGAAAGTAATTGACATTTATTAACTAAGATAAAAGAATCTAATCCAAGAGTTAAATTAACACATCTAAATAAGACCAATATTGTTGATGTTTGGGCACATAACTTTTAAACTGAAATTGCAGAAATCGCTGATTTAATTGAAGAATTTAATGTCATCTCTTTAGTAATCAATCTATTTATTTTAGGATACAGAATTTCCAGGAACAGAATATGAATAACCAGAAAGTGATGATAAGGTTATTCTCATCTTATTATTATAGGATTATGAATATTTATAATTAGTCAGAAATGTTCAAAAATATAAACTCATTCAATTAGGAATTAGTTTAGCAAATGAAGCAGGAGAAGTACCTTTAGCTAAAAATACATGGCAATTTCATTTCAAATTTAATGCTTAGTATTATCTCTATTAATAAATACTTATAGATATGATTCACTTATGAGTTCTGTTAAAAATATGTTAGAATAAGCTGGTATTAGATTTGATGATTTGGCTTCTAAAGGAATTGATTATTCAGAATTTTGTGAAGTAGTTACAGGCAGTGGTATTAATATTATTTATTTATTAGGATTAATTTTAAATGATGATATTAAATATGTAGTATTTCATGGTGAATTTGATTTTGGATACTTATTACATCTATTTCATCATTCTGGTATACCAGATACATAAGAAGAATTCTATAAAATGATGAAACTCTATTTTCCATCAATCTATGATTTAAAATATATTCTTAAAGATAACCCTAAATATAAAGATTCAGGTCTTAGTAGATTAGCTACTAAAATTGATGTTACAAGAATAGGTCCTGAACATTAAGCAGGCTCTGATGCTCTATTAACTCTATAATGTTATTATTAAATGAAGTATTGCTTTCCAGATTTGTAAAATGATTTCGAAAAAAACATAAATCTCATTTATGGAATTGGAAAAGGTTATATACCAAATAAGTATTAATTATTCTATTCTAAATTCTAGTCGTCGTAAAGCTTATGCAACAACAACATAAACTCCAGATCCAACTTTACAAGTCTAACAATTAGACTAAGGTTATTATTTTACACAAAATTATTACAATGATGAACAATATTATTAATATAATTAGTAATACTTGAATTACAATTATTATGCCCAATATCAAATGCTAGAAACTGATTAACAAAAGAGAAAAAGTGGTTATTGAATATTAAATTAATATTAATATTATCAAAACAAAGTTTATTTCGATGAATTTCTACTTATATATTTATTCTCTAACGTCTATTATTATTCACTATTATTGAAATATTTTCTTCTCATTTCTTATGATGATATTTTGTACAATTCTAATAATGATTTCTAATCACCCTCTAATTGTCTTAACGGAATTATTTGTATTCTATTCACCAAAGGTGGTACTTTTTAACTATTTTCAAATGCTTCTTAAAATACTTTATTTGTTAAATTCATTAAATATATTAATTTAAATTAATCGTTTTCAATTATTATAATGAATACTATTCGTTAAGAGTCATAATTTAATTATACCCTTGTGTTTAACACAAAAAGAAAAAATATTGATACTAAATCTTAAACTTAAATTTTGATTAATTAGACTTATATCATTACCAAGTGCTTAATTTTATAATAAATTATGAATTTAATTCAAAAGAAAAGTTATTTACTTAATTTAATCAAATCAAATTTTATATTTTTCATTAATATAGCTTTTTTACTAAACCAACTATTTTATTTGATGTTTTCTTGAATCATTTCCCATATTAAAGAAAGATTGGTTAAAATTTATTCTCTTTATGTTAATATTAATTAACTTCATTTAATGTATGATTACCTTAAATTTAACATTGGGGTAATAACTTTAAGAAATACCCTAAATAATTATTTATAACCAAATAATTTTTATTGCTTATTCACTTAAATAATAAATATTCAAGTATATTTGACCTTTTTTTGGCATTTTAGAATACTTTCATTGTGCAAAAAGAATATTGATATTATGATAATTAATTATATTTTCAATCAATTCAGAATTAAAATTCATATTTTTGTGTCATAAATAACAGTAATATTGTAAAAGTTTTTTTTATAAAAATTATTTAATTTTGAAAAACTTTTTAATTAACTCATTAAAGCAGGATTTTTCATTATTCGTTTTTAGAATATTAAAGATTAACTTGAACAATTGATTTATTTATTATTAAAAATATACTAAATTATTTTATCATTTATGCTAAAATAAGTATTTAAGAATGATGTATTATAAAAATAGAAGATTTTTCCAATTCTGCAAAATCAAAAATTACATTGGGATGAGGAGGACAATTAAATCTTACAAGAAGAAAAAAAGAATAAAAATAGATGCATTTTAGAAAATATTTTTTTCATCAAAAGTTTTCATTCCCTAAAATATCAATTGAAAATAATAATCAGACTTATGAATTAATTAAATGGATAAAATTCAAAGAATTTTGGGATTTATAAATAGCAGCATGCTGAAATTGAAGTCTTTGAACTTTTAAATACTATGAGTGCTGTCGACAATAAATTATTACAACGTAATCCATCATTTAGTTTGATACCCAAAATAAAAAAATTATATAGTTTAAATTAATTATCATATCTATGAAATTTAAAATATACTTTTTGATGAATAAAACTCGATTAATTATATTCAAATTTTTAGATAATATTAGGTTTATTTAAAAGAATAGCAAGCTACTTATAAAATTTTTCTTGACTTTTTTTTTGAAATAAATATATATAAATATCATGTAGTTATTAATATTATATGTCAATAATATAAGTATTAATTCAAATATTTATATAATAAACTAATAACATCAAAAGTAATTGATAGTTTTATTATAAAGCTATAAAATCTGCTTTAGAAGAAGTTTAAATTTTTAGAATTCATTTTCTACAAATAGTTTGGTTGTTGTATAATAATAGATAGGAAGTCCTTAAATTATAAAAGAAATAACATTTATACAATAAACTCTAATTAGAGTTATTCAAAACGGCTAAAATTAGAAATAAAAAATGAATATAAAATAAAAAAGATTAATAAACATAACAAAATATGTCTAAGGTATTTAAAGAATATCAATGCATTTTGAATAGATTCTTTCTTACGTTCTAGACTTTACTAGCATTATAGGGTTTTTTTATAGCTTAAATAAATTCCTATTAAGCTTCATGTATAATATCGCAAATACGATTANATACTAAATTATTTTATCATTTATGCTAAAATAAGTATTTAAGAATGATGTATTATAAAAATAGAAGATTTTTCCAATTCTGCAAAATCAAAAATTACATTGGGATGAGGAGGACAATTAAATCTTACAAGAAGAAAAAAAGAATAAAAATAGATGCATTTTAGAAAATATTTTTTTCATCAAAAGTTTTCATTCCCTAAAATATCAATTGAAAATAATAATCAGACTTATGAATTAATTAAATGGATAAAATTCAAAGAATTTTGGGATTTATAAATAGCAGCATGCTGAAATTGAAGTCTTTGAACTTTTAAATACTATGAGTGCTGTCGACAATAAATTATTACAACGTAATCCATCATTTAGTTTGATACCCAAAATAAAAAAATTATATAGTTTAAATTAATTATCATATCTATGAAATTTAAAATATACTTTTTGATGAATAAAACTCGATTAATTATATTCAAATTTTTAGATAATATTAGGTTTATTTAAAAGAATAGCAAGCTACTTATAAAATTTTTCTTGACTTTTTTTTTGAAATAAATATATATAAATATCATGTAGTTATTAATATTATATGTCAATAATATAAGTATTAATTCAAATATTTATATAATAAACTAATAACATCAAAAGTAATTGATAGTTTTATTATAAAGCTATAAAATCTGCTTTAGAAGAAGTTTAAATTTTTAGAATTCATTTTCTACAAATAGTTTGGTTGTTGTATAATAATAGATAGGAAGTCCTTAAATTATAAAAGAAATAACATTTATACAATAAACTCTAATTAGAGTTATTCAAAACGGCTAAAATTAGAAATAAAAAATGAATATAAAATAAAAAAGATTAATAAACATAACAAAATATGTCTAAGGTATTTAAAGAATATCAATGCATTTTGAATAGATTCTTTCTTACGTTCTAGACTTTACTAGCATTATAGGGTTTTTTTATAGCTTAAATAAATTCCTATTAAGCTTCATGTATAATATCGCAAATACGATTAACAACATTTTTTTTAGAATGAATAATTACTGTGTTAGGACAAGTAGCAGTTGACTAAAAATAAATAAAAAATAGATTACATCACTTTAAATAGGAGTTGTAAATTAAGAATTTTCAATTTCTTTAGAGAGCATTTCACTAAATTCATTAATTTCTTGTTCATTTTGAAAATCTTCTTCCTTATAAAATTGTTAGAATTATTCAGGTGTAATTATATGTTCATTTAAAAGAGTTTCTAGTACAACTTATCTACTTGATAATCTGGATTAATGTTTTGGTTTAAGTTTAGGGGATAACATAGGGGAATCTTGAAATTAGGATTAGCAAAAATTAAACTGATTAATTTATTCTATTCCGTCTGATTCATCAGATGAGTCCATAATGCTTGATCTAATAGTATTAAAAGTTTCAAGCAAATTTAATTATGAATTAGAAGAGAGAAAGTTTAAATTTTGATATGGTTAAGCATTTAAGTACACATAAAAATTACTCTCACCAAAATAACTAATAAAAAGTGAATTAAATAGTAATTCTTGGACTGAGTTTATATTGATATTTAAAACTTCTTAGATGATATCTTCTTTGAAGGGAAATCTTAAGAATATTAATTTTTTTACTTTTTTATTAAATAATTTTTGATGGCTGAAACATCTTGGAATATATCTTTTTAATAGTCCTAAGTAAATGTTTTAACTAAAGAATTATCCAGTATTTCCATATTATAATTTTCATCTAATAAAATAATATTTGATTCCTAAAATAAAACAAATACAATTACAGAAAAAGTAGTCAAACATAATCCTTGGTTATGATACTTGTATAATAGCTTAAGTAATCCAAAAAGTGATTGTTCTAAAGATAAATTGTTAATTTTTTGTCCATTTAAATATGGGATAATCAAATATAAATATTCATCATCTTCAAATAAATATTCATAATTTGTAATGTTGACTATATTGTTCAAATATGATTTTCCTAATATTTTTGAATACTTTTTAATTGACTTTGAAATAGCAGTCATTCTATCTCTGGATTGAAAAATCTAATTATATACCATAAATTATACTTCAAAATTATCTAACTTCTGAGTTTGTTTCTCGATAACATAATGATTGTGAATATCTAAATGCATACAATATTTATTAATGAGTTCATAAAACTACTATAATTATGGTCCTGTGTATGTAATTTATCCAAAGAGATTTTAAAGTGTTACTCCCTTCTCATCTAATGTAATGTATGTTTGCAATAAATCGATTTATTAACTACCAGATAATAATTACCCAGAGATTACTCTTATTAGTACTGAGGTGTTTCCTGAGTATAGTTAAAACACCTATATTAAAGGAAATCAAAAATTATACATCATAATCGTTATCATTTGAAAATGAATTGAGTGAAATTGGATTCCAAAAGGATTCAGCAAATAATGAATCTTATATCATTGATTTTAATATATTTTTTATTAATTAACATATATATATGTAGTTAAATAAAAACCCATACAGCCTCTCATATCATAATGAAATAAGTTTTTACATATATATTTAAATATTCTTAATTGTAAAATAGAATTTCTTTTTCTATTAACAAAATTAGTTGAATAAAGAGAGTATTAACATTATTTGAATGAGTGCAGTACATCATTATTTTAAAATTTAAAATTTTTATTTAGAAATAAATAAAATCACAACGACTATTAAATTTTAGTAAAAGATTACATATTAGATTGCTTGTTATGGAATTCAAATAAAGAGAATATAATATATATTTATTAAAAGAGATGTAACGAATATTCTTAATTTAAAAGATTTGTGTATTAATTACGCTTATACATAAATTAAATTAATTTACTAAATTTGAATGTCTAAAAATGAATTTAAATATTAGTATGAAATAGTTTGGATTAAATAGTTTATTAGTTTGAAGTGTAAAGATTTATCAATAATGATAATTTATATAAGTAGTATGGTATTTTAGAGTAGATAAGAAAGAGGAGAATAAAAAAGTTAGAGATGATGAAAAAGATAGAAAAATAATTTTTACATATGAAATTAAATTAAAAAGGAATATCAAAAACAATTTTATTAAATTTTATATGAGGAGGAGAATATTGAAATTAATTCCTTTGTTTTTGTTTGCTTGTAAGGGTATTAGAAGCAGCTGCAAGTTGTAGAGTGATCTAACAGAGGAATAGAAGAAGGGGATAATTTAGACAGCTTAAATGCTAGATTATAACAATACTTAATTAATCACCTATACAAGTTTTAAGAAACCAAAAGAGGGAGAATTAATGCCATTTGTGATATAGAATGGAGATGAAGATTATTAGATAATATTAACAAGATATGAAGGGAAAATATATGCATTAGGTAGTTTATGTCCATATGATCTGGAAACAGATTTATCAGAAGGAATATGTTTTGGTGATAAATTATATTGTCCAAAACATGGTTGTTAATTTGATATAACAAATGGTATGGTAGAAGGACCTCCATCAATAGATAATTTGCCAAAGTTTGGAGTAAAAGAGAATGAGGATTCAATTGAAGTATATGCTCCTTTGGTAGTACCGAAAAAGATAGTTCCATAATATCATTTCAGAGATTATAATGATTAAAGAAAAGTAGTAATTTATGGAGGTGGAGCAGCTGCATTTGCATGTTTGACAACATTACGAGAATTTGGTTATACTGGAGAGATATCATATATAACAAATGAAAATTATATGCCATATGATAGATTAATGATGAGTAAAAGAATTAAAGCTACAAAACCAGAAGATTTCTTTTTTAGAAAAGATAAATGGTATTAAGCTATTGCTATAGATACTCATTTAGGAAGAAGAATTTCTTATATTAATAATAAATATAATAATACCTATGTAGAATTAGATGATAGTAATAAAATCGCTTATGATACTATATTGATAGCAACTGGTACAGATCCTGTACATCCTACTATTAAAGGAATTGAAAATCAACCAGTGTTTTATTTCAATTCTTTAGATTCTCATTAATAATTAAAAGAGAAATTAAAAAATATTAATGATCTGGTATTTTGATCTTGTTTATTATAGTCTATCATAGGTATTAATACTATGTCATTAGAAGTGGCATAAACTATTCGTAAAGAATATCCAAACATTAAAATAAATGTAATTGATCCAAATGAAGAAAGTCAATTCTAAGTTTAATATGGACCTGAACTTGCTAATTTGGTTTTGGATTTACATGTTGAAAAAGGAATTAATGTATATGAAAACATTAAAATTAAAAAAATTGAAAAAGATTCAATCATATTTAAAGGAAAGAAAAAACTTAAATCTGATGCTGTGATCTTATTTCCAAGTACTGTAGCACCAAAAACTGAATTTGCAGAAGTTAGTGATCATTAATTTGAATTTGATACAGCAGGAAGAGTCAAAGTTGATTACTTTTAAAGAACTGATATTAAAAGAATCTTTGCTGCAGGTAGTTGTGCTCATACTTATTATTATACTAATGGTACAGGTCATTTAGGTGATTAATGGTAAGCATGCTACAATTAAGGAATGACTGCAGCTTATAATATGTTAGCACTTAATGTCCCTTGGCATTAAATACCTTTTACTTATACTGAATAATTTGGAAAAGTATTATAATAAACTAGTTCTTGGCCATAATTTGATGAAGTTCATATTGAAGGAGATTTAAAAAAATGGGATTTCATTATTTATTATGGTATGAATGACTTTGTTGTTGGTGCTGTTGGTACACCATCTAAACAAAACAGAGTTGCTATTGTTAATGAAGGAATAAGATGTAAAAATCTACCATTTATGTCTGATCTTAAAAATGGAAAATATTCAACCAAAGATATTGAAACTGCAGTTAGAGTATATATCTTATCTATTTTAGAAAATCAAAAAATCAGGATGTTACAAAAATACATTATACAAATTTAGATATGATATAGTCCCTGAATATAATCTATGGACTTTCAGAGATAATATGTCAACATTCTATTTCCCCTATGATAATGCTGAAATCTCAGCTGCACCTAAAATGAAAGGAGATGAATGATATCAATCTATAAATATTATCCATATATATCATGGATTCCTATATACTTGATGTTTAACCTACTTCTATATGCTTTGTTTTACTCTTCTGTACTTTTAACATCTCTCTCTTATTCTTAAACTAAAATGATTATCATTATTAATATCCTATCTATATTTAGTTCCTCTTCTAATCAATAAGCTTATCTTTTATAAACAAAAACTTAATTTAAGCATTTTTCATTATTTCATCATTATAATTTTTATTTTATATTTCCAAATTAAATACAATGTAGAATATTAAGATTATTTTTAAACACCGCTCCCTATAACTTATAATGCAGACTCGAATTATTAGTTAGCAGATTTTAAATGTTATATTTATATTTTTACATTCTTTCTATTTTTAGAAAATGTCAAAAATAAACAATTCTTTTTTATTTATTATAAAATTAAAGAATATTTTTTTCTTTTAAAATTAAACAAATATGTTTGTTCTATCTTAAATGAAATTATTCAGCTTATGTTAATAAAACAATTATTTAAAATTAAAAATTTATAAACTCTAATCTTTCAATTAAATACTGAATTCCTTATTTTTCATTATAGATATAATTGAACAAATTTTGAGTAACAATTAAGTTAATTAAATTAGGTACATATGTAAATTGATTCTATATAGTGTTAAGCGTTAGAATATAAAAATAATAATGAATAATAATCATTAAATAAATCGGATGAATCAACTATTCGCGTTATTAGAAAAGAATTTGACTTTACATTTCAGATCAAATTAATTTTGGATAAATCTATATGTACCAATTCTAAATGTAATTTTATCATTAATTGTTTCCTACAAAAATAATTTAACATACTTGTTTTTATTAATACTTATTTGTTTAAACAATAATGGTGTTTTAAGATAATCATTAATATTATTAGTGAGAGAAAAGAGCGGAAAATTCAAGGAGTTATAATAATTAATGGGATTAAGTTCATATGCTTATTATGCATCTTGGATAATAACATTTTTTGTTATGACTTTTGGTGTTTCACTAATTTATTTAATACCATTTACAGAATTCAAACTTAATGAAGTAGGAGATGGATCCTTAGGAATTGGAATGTTAATATTAGGATAATTATTATATAGTTGGTCTCTTGCATCTTTTGTATTATTTTTAAGTTCATTTTCAAAGACTTCAAATAAGGCTAGTGAATTTATTGGTCTTTTGAATGTAGTATTAACATTTGTTTTGATTTTTAATTTTGTACCAGAACCAAAATTAACATTTCTAAGTTAATTACCTACACTTTTTGTACCATAGACAGCATTTTAAATGCTATTATTAAGTTCACGTTGGATATTTAAAGGTTAAGGATTTTTATTCAAACCTGGAATATATATTGGTTGTTTAATATTTTAGATTATAAGTTATACTCTTGGATTTATATATTTTGATTAAGTGTTGAGTGGATCTAAGAAACTATTTTTCTTATGCAATTTCTGCAGAAAGAATACATAAATTTATACTGATTTTGAAGATGAATAAAACAAAAATTCAATATATTTAAATATAGAATCAGATGAATTATACAAGCCAATGTTAAATATTCAAGATTAAAAAATAGAAAATTTTGAATAACCATTTATATTAGTTAAAAATATGTGGAAAAAGATTAATAATCAATATATTCTCAAAGATGTAAATATGTAAATATATCAAAATGAGATTTATTGTTTATTAGGACCTAATGGAGCTGGAAAATCTACATTAATGAAAATATTATCTGGTATTAGTGAAAAAACAAAAGGAAAAATCAACATTTTGGGATAAAGCATTGAAAATAAACATTTTAAAAATCAGATTGGTATTTGCTTATAATAAGATATTTTATATCCAGAACTAAATGTTTATGAGCATTTAGAATTTTATGGATAATTAAGAAATATAGAATATAAAGAATTATAACAATAAATAAATTATATTTTACAAGTATGTCAATTAATAAATGAATCTAATTTAAAGCCATGTTAATTGAGTGGTGGAAATAAGAGAAAATTGAGTTTCGCAATATCTCTAATTGGAAACTCTAAAATAATATTTTTAGATGAACCATCATCAGGAATGGATTCATTAACAAAATAATAAATTTGGGATGTGATAAAAGAAATGAAAAAGAATAGGGCTATTGTAATGACTAGTCATAATATGGAAGAAGCTGATGAATTAGCTTCAAGAGTTGGAATACTCATAAATGGATAAATTGTGACTCAAGGAACTCCTGATTTTATTAAGCTTAATTTTGGAGTTGGTTATCATTTATAAATGGACTTTTCAGATTAAAATTAATTAATATAAGAGAAATCTTGTATCTAAACTTAGCTATAAAAAATAGATAGTTATATTCCTCTAATTTAATGTGCTCCTACTTCCCTTAAAAGTATTTTACCAGTAAAAAAAATTCATTTGTTTCATGAACTCTTAAATTATTTAGAATAGAATTCTTAATGTAAATTTTCACTTTCATAAAACTCTTTGGAAGATTCATATCTTGCAATAGATTATTAATATGGAAATTAAACTATAGATTAGTATACTTAGAGAGTGTTTCAATAAAGACCTAAGATAGATTTCAAAGCTCAGCTTATAGGATTAACATTGAGAAAACTATTAATTTTATTAAGTTCTACTGATACATAAGTGAGATTTTTACTACCACTCCCATTAATACTTTTAGCTGTTATAATTGGAATTTATTCTTCTTTCTTATTTGTATTTTTATATCTTGGAATTAAGGCACTTACATCTACTTTATATGCTATAATTCAATTAGAAGATAAAGATACAAAAATTAAATAATATATGTTTGCAAGTGGAGTTTAAATACATACTTATTGGCTCAGTATTGTTATTACTGATATAGTTCCATCTATTATTGAAGGTCTATTTACAGCAATATTATTATTTATCTTTAATATTGGACATTTTAGATCCAATTTTTTTAAAGTTTTCTTTATCATTACTATTTTTGGAGTCTCTTTGAGTTGTTTTACAAATTGGTTATCAATTAAATATAACAAATCATAAAATGCTTATATTGGAATTCCACAAATATAATTTTTTGTATTTTTCCTATTTTTTTTTATATTAATGATTTAAGTGGCTCATCCAGAATGTTCAATAGGATTAAATATGATTGCAATGTTCTTAATGATTATTTCACCCTTTACAGCTTGTTATTTAGGTTTGGGTATGAGTCCAATTTTATTAAATTTAGCCATTTTCAGTTATTATTCATGCATTTTATATTTAATACTAGGAGGTACTATTTACTTTTTAATCTTATATTCAACAGAGATTAATAGATTATAATAAATTCAAATTAGTATGGATGATACTGATGCTGTTGTAGATGTATTAGATTTAACAAAATAATATGGTAAAATTGAGAAAGTTCAAAAATTATCATTGTAAATTAAATCTAAAGAAATATATGGATTACTTGGACCAAATGGTGCTGGAAAATCAACAACTTTTAATATGATTAGTAAATTTGATAAACCAACAACAGGTTAAGTAAGAATTAGAGATATTTAAACTAATATTGGTTTAGTCCCATAGTTTTGTCCATTTAATCCTACATTAACAATTTATCAACATCTCAAAATTTATGGAATTTTAAAAGGTTAACAAAATTTGACAAATACAATTGAAGTTTATTTAAAGGCTCTTGATTTATATTAATTTAAAGATAGATAAGTCTAATTCTTAAGTGGAGGTGAAAGAAGAAAAGTTTAATTAGGAATAGCTTTAATTGGAGGATCTAATCGATTATTTATGGATGAACCTACAACTGGATTAGATCCTAAATCAAGAAGAATCATTTAATAGATTTTATTATAATCAACAATAAACAATGATGCTTCAGTTCTATTAACTACACATTCATTATAAGAGGCTTAAAGTATATGTAATAGAATTGGTATCATGGTCAATGGAAACTTGATCACTTCTGGAACTTTAAATGAATTAAGAACTTAATTAGGTGAATAAGCTAGATTTAGTGTTAAATGTAATATAGGTAAAAAAGAATAAGTTCATCAAACTATATAGTTATAACTATCATAACAATTCTAAATATAATCTATCCCAGAATACAGAGAAAAGTACTATATTTAAACTATTTATTAGTTATTTGTCATATTAGATCCCTGTTGGTCATTTTAAATTATCTAAATTATTTTAATATTTATAATTAGAGCTTAAATAAAAATAATTGTTGATAAATGATTTCTCTATTTATTAACCAAACTTAGAATAAATTTTTGCATTCTTTGCTTCTTAATAAATTAGAGGAATCAACTAAAATTTATTAAATGATTCTGAAAATAATCAAAATGATTTTGGAGATAGAGTTAGAGCTATCTTGGCATTTTTCTGTATATTTTGGTGAATCAAAGCAATATTTATTTATTCCATATTATTAAATCTTATCATATATATATATATAGATTATTATTATTTTGAACTTTTTTAAAGAAAGAATTTAATTATTTTTTTAAATATGATTTTTGCTTTTAAGAAATTAAGTGGAAAAACTTTGTCTGTGTTAAGTATTCTTAAAATTTTCCATTTAGAACATAACATTTAAGTGAAATTAGATTTTAGTAAGAATCATGTTAATAAATAAGGTAAATGTTGTGATACACTTCAAATTAATGAGAATGAAATTGTATATGGAAATTTTTCAATTATTAATTACTTGACTAAGGTTAAAAGAAATCCTTATTAAAATGAAAAATTGTGGTGGGTGGCTCATTAACTTCAAGATGTAATTTAAATAAAAAAGAATGATGTAAAATATTTATTAATTTTATAGGAAGTTGTTGAGAAAAAGAAATAGGTTAAGACAGATAATGTCAAATCTTTAAATAGAATTTTGGAGTAGTAAAAGTATTTAGAAGGAGAAGAATTATCAGAGACAGATATTATTGCTTATATCAAATTAAAGAGAGTAAAACCAGAAGTAAAGACATAAGGTAAATTATAAAAATGGTAAAATGCTGTTGGAGCTATTGTTGATCCTATTTTGACATCAACAGAAAATGTATTAAATATTAATTTAAGTCTATTAGGAATTTAATCCATAGATTATCGCATTTCATGAAGAAAAAAGAAAGAAGCAAGAAGAAATCAATAAAAGAAAAGAATAACATCAAAATGCAAAGAAATAAGCAAAAGATGATTAAAATAAAGGAAAATAATAATAATAATAATAATAATAATAATAATAATAATAATAATAATAATAATAATAATAACAATAATAATAACAATAATAATAACAATAATAATAACAATAATAACAATAATAATAACAATAATAATAATCATAATAATAATAATAAAGCAACAAAATAAAATAAAAAGAAGAAATATCATAAGATTATTTGAAATAATTTTCTGCTTAAAAAATCATCAGAACAAATTTAGGATAATAGATTCTCCCCTAGAAAGATAAAAGAAATGTCCTAATTACAAGTGCTTTACCTTATGTGAATAATGTTCCTCACTTAGGAAATATTATAGGGTGTGTTTTAAGTGCAGATGTTTTTGCTAGATATTCAAGATTAAGAGGATATAATACTTTATATATATGTGGAACAGATGAATATGGAACTGCTACTGAAGTAAAAGCTATATAAGAGAAAATGACTCCTTAGGAGATTTGTACAAAATTCCATTAGATTCATAAAGAAGTTTATGATTGGTTTGATATAGATTTTGATTATTTTGGAAGAACTTCAACTCCCATTCATACTGAAATAACTTAAGAAATATTTAATCATTTGCATCCTAAATATACAACTTAAAAAAGTAGTCCATAAACATATTGTACATCTTGTAAGATGTATTTAGCTGACAGATATGTAAGTGGTGTATGTCCACATTGTTAATATGAAGATGCAAGAGGTGATTAATGTGATAATTGTGGTAAATTATTAGATCCAGTTGAATTAATTAATTCAAAATGTTACATCTGCAAAAATTAACCTGAAATAAAAGAAACTAAACATATCTATATTAATTTACCAGATATTTAAGAAAAATTAGAAAAATGGATTCATTCTACATCTTAAACTGGTCTTTGGTCTTAAAATTCTTACAATGTATCTAAAGCATGGTTGAAATTAGGATTAAAAGAAAGATGTATAACTAGAGATTTGAAATGGGGTGTTTAAGTTCCTTTAGATGAATATAAAGATAAAGTATTTTATGTCTGGTTTGATGCACCTATTGGTTATTTAAGCATTACGGCTAATTTTATTAAGGAATGGAAATAATGGTGGATGAATCCAGAAAATGTCGAATTATTTTAATTTATGGGTAAAGATAATGTTCCATTTCATACTGTTATTTTCCCATCTACATTAATGGGAACTGAATAAAATTATACTCTTTTGAAAACTATTTCAACAACAGAGTATTTAAATTATGAAGATGGTAAATTTTCTAAATCTAGAAGCACAGGAGTTTTTGGTGATAATGCATAAGATACTTAAATTCCAAATGAAATCTTTAGATATTATTTATTAATCAATAGACCAGAAAAAAGTGATACCATATTTACTTGGTAGGATTTTGCTAATAAAAATAATAATGAACTTTTACCTAATTTAGGTAATCTTGTTAATAGAGCTCTTAATTTCATTTATAAAAATTATAATAAATCAATTCCAAATGTTGAACTCAATCAATTAAATGGAAAGGATGAAGAATTTATTAACCTATTTATGAATAAATTTAAGAATGAATATTTAGATGCTTTTGAAAAAGTAGAAATTAAAGATGCTCTTCGTAAAGCTATGGAATTAAGCAGTCTAGTGAATAAATATATTTAAGATGAAAAAGCATGGGAAAAAGAACAAAAAGAATCAAAAAGATCAGATGTTATATTATTTGTTGCAGTTAATGCAATTAGATTAGTTAGTGCTTTGATTGAACCATTTATGCCTTCTGTTTCTGCTAAAATTAATTTTACTTTAGGCTTTAATTAAAGAACAGAAAAGGATGATGTATTATTTAAGCATGTTTTATCATATGATAATAATGTATCTGCTCTATTGAATCTAGTCAATCCAGGATAACCAATTAATTAGCCAGTACCTATTTTTAGAGAATGTAATCTATTTATTTAATAATAATTTAGTCAAACCAGAAGAAGTAGAAAGGTGGAGATAACTTTATAAAGGTTAAATCTGATATATCATTAATAATCATAAATATTAAAGATCTAAAAATTACAAATTATTTATAAATTAATATTACTACTATTAGCCAAATTCATTTTTAATTATAAATTATTATTAAAAATAACAAGGAAATGTGAGAATCTCTATAAACAAAAAAATCAGATAGGAATATACTAAGTATTTTTAATTTTAATAAATAAAATGGATGTATAACATTGATTAAATAAATATCATCTTTTAATTTGCTTTTATTTTGCAATATCAAAAATAGCTTAAGCATTTTGATCACCGGTATTTTTAACCAGTCTGGAAAATTCAGTAGTTTTATCTATAGAGGTAGAATTAATTGAATTAGCTAATAAATTATAAGGAGTATCAAATTCTATGACTTTCCCTTCACTTACAACCATAACTTTATCATAATCAGCAATTGTATTTAATCTATGTGCAATAGTAATTAAAGTACAATTAGTAAATTTCTTTTTTAATGTTTCTTATATAAAATCATCAGTTTTCATATCCACATTAGCAGTTGCTTCATCTAAAACAATAATTTTTTTTTAATATAAAACAATTCTAGCAAGACAAATCAATTATTTTTATCCAACAGAAAATACTGAATTGACATCACTCATATCAGTTAATAAACCATTTTAAAATGCTTTAACATGACTAATTAGATCTGTTTATTCTAGAGCCTTCCATAATTATTCATCAGTAAATTCATCAAAGGGATCTAAATTTCTTCTAATAGTTCCAGTAAATAAAAATGGTGATTATGGTATGATTCCAATATTACTTCTTAATTTATGCAATCCTAATTTTCTTATTTCTAAATCTGAAATTTATAATTATGATTTTTAATCTTATTCGATTTCTGACATTCTAAAGATTGCTTACAAAATTGATGATTTTCCAGCTCCTGTTCTTCCAACACAACCTATTTTTTCACCACTTTAAATATCAAATGATAATCCTTTTAAAACTAATTCGCAATTTTATCTATATCTCATAAAAACATTTTCAAATTTAACTCTTCCATCTTTTGGAAAATCAGGATATTTTGAATCTTCTTATGTTATATGAGGAGCCTCTGGTTAAATATCAATAATTTAAAACATTCGGTTATATGAATTCATTTGTGTTTCAAATGTTATTAATTATCTTAAACCCCATTATAAAGCATCATTATAAACAGTTAATAGTAACAATCCTTAAGATAAAGTTGCAACATCATCATAATTTAATTTTACAAATATAAATATTCCAACAGTCTATGCTATAAATCCTATCAAATCCAAATTAAATCCAAAAGATCTTGATGAATAATAATAAGTTAAGGCATTAAGATTACATTTATTTGAAATTTCTAAAAACTATTCTCTAAACCATGCTTACTGTTCATAAACTCTAACTTATATCACTCCTCCTAAAGTTTTCTTCAAAAAATCAAATAAAGGACTTCTTTACATTAATTCAACCTCTTTTAATTAACTTATAATCTTTTTAGCATAGCTAAATTAATAGACATCTATCGTAATAAGAAATACAATTAGAAAAAGGAAATATGGTTACAATATAGCCAAAGTGATTAGAGCAAATATAAAATTACCAATAATTTCCAAGACATCCAAACTTACTGAATTAGTTTGATTATCACATAATGATAAATCATTTGAAAATCTATTAATAATTCTTCCAGATGGATTTACATCGAAATATGAAACTGGAGCTAAGGTTAATGATTTAAGCATTTATTAATGTATTTTTTAAGTAGAAGTTTAAACTGAATATGTATTCAATCCATATTTAAAAAAATTAGTAAGTAAAAGCCCTAAAGTTAACATTCCTAAAAGATAAAAAGCAGTATCCAAATCATTTTCTTTTTGATATTCTTCAAAAAGTGAAATAATTCTTTGATAAAAATTATTTAGAATTTCAGAGCCAACTTCTAATAAAAGAACACATATGATAATTATAACATTCCAAAATTTATAGTATCTAAAATATGTTGATAATGAAATCAAAGATTATTAATCTGCCTCTTTACCAATAAGATTATTAGAAACAGAATGCTTAAGTTTTGTTCTCTTTTAAAATTATGGTCTAATGAAATCTTATTTTTTCGATTCTTTAGTGTTATTTAATTATTAAGCTAATTCATCATTGATCATATACAAACTTGATTTAATATCATTATAAGATCCTTATGCAATTAATTCTCCATCATTTAATATAGCAATTTTATCACATTCAACAGCATATTAAACTTAATGAGTAACTAAAATAACAATAGGTTTTTTCTTTGATGGATTTTTTTGAATTTAATAATCAAAAATAAATTCTTTGATAGCCATATGAAAGATATTTTTGGCAACACTAGCATCTACAGCAGATAAAGGATCATCAAACAAATATAAATCTGCTTATTAATATAAAGCTCTAGCCAAAGATAATCTAGCTTTCTGACCACCAGATAATGTAGTACCTCTTTCCCCTATTTCTGTATGATCTTAAAATTTCATTAAAGATAAATCTGCTTCCAATTAAGAAGCATGTAAAACTTTTTAATATAATATTTTATCATATGGTCTTCCAAATAAAATATTCCTTCTTATTGTATCTGGAAATATAAAAGGTTCTTATTCAACATATGCTATAGTTAAGGCACCTTTATTTGCTTCTTAACCATCAATTTTGAATGATCCTTTATATGCAGGAATTTCATATAAAAAAGCACTTAAAAGAGTTGATTTACCACAACCTACTTTTCCAATAAAAGCCCATGCTTCTCCTGCTTATATATTTAATGTTAAATTCTTAAGAACTGGTTTTGTAGTCTCTATTACTTTACTAGTCCAATATGATGTAAAATTTTAAAGTTAAATTCTAGGTCCAGTATAATTTTATGATTAATTGTTTGTATTATCTGAAATCAAATGAATTTAATCTAAATTAGTCATTTCTGAATTTTCAATATTTAATATTGTTGCTATTCTTGTAAATGATACCTTTATATGAATTACTGATTAAATTCCATATGAAACCATGAAAACACAACTTATCTTAAAAAATGTAAGTAATTAAATTGTTGAAATCATTTCAGCTACACTCATTGTTTCTCTAAAATTTCCATAATATAATATAACAAAAAATATAAAACTTGACCAAATTTAGGATATCAAACTAAATAATCTATCTATGACTGATCTAAAAGAGATTTTTAATAAACAAATATATTCCTTTTATCTCATTATCGATATCATTTTATTAAATGCTTATTCCCATGCATACATTTTAATAAGTCTGATACCTTCAATAAGTTCATTTGTTAGTTTTAATCTTTAATCTTAATATTACTTAGAAGATATTAATGTCTTGGAATTAAAAGATTATAAAATTATTTGTATAGGATATGCAGTGAATATTATAGCTAATGAAATTATTCCAATAGGTCCATTAAATCTATCCCATAATATATAAGATCCAAAAATAATTGATATAAAACATACACTACTTTAGAATATCATAATTAATACAAATTCTAAATAATTTATATCTCCAGAAATTAAATTTAAGATTTTCCCTATGTTTGCTTCTTTTATAGAATAAGCACTTAATTCAGTTAATTTTATGTAGACTAAATTTATAAGTGTCATTCTTGCTTTTGATGAAAAAACCATAGCTAAATTATAACCATGATGTCTTGTAAATAAACAAAGTAAATTAAGAAATACTAACAAAGTAGCGAATCCATATGCACTATCTTTATCACGTTGTGAAGCACTTGTAATTACTTTACTCATTGCTATTGATACACAGTTTCTTACAATAGCTTCCATAAAATATGAAAAGAAACATCCTAAACTAATCCACTTTAATTAACCAAAAAATATAATATTCACTAAATCACCACAAGTAATTTTTTTTTTTTATTTCACTTGTTTTTAACAAACTTTAATTGATTCTTTTAAATCTTCCCAAGGTGATAATTTTGGTAAATGTTTCTCTGCAATTTTATGTCCCTTATCTAATACATTTTTCTTCAAAAATAATGAATATTCTGTAAGATGCACAAATGCTAATTTAGATATAAACCAACTCCTCTCACCATGATAATAAGGATAAAACTTCTCTTCTTCTTCTTCAGGTATTGTAACCATTGAAGGTTCATTTTATCCATCCTAGATATTTAATGGCTATTATTCTTGTAATTATTCATCCTACTGATCTGTAAGCATTTAATTATTAATTCCACTATCTTTTTATTATGATGTCATTTCCAATTCTTCTTGCCTTTTCTCTGGACTTATGTCACTCATTAGAATTTTCAGAAATCCTATAAATAAATAAATTAAATTGACAATTACATTTACTATAAATACTTAAAAATATTTAATTTTCATTAGAAATCTTATTAATTTCTTTATATTTATATCTTATTCTCAATCAATAAATGTTGTTCTTTCTTTATATTCTAATATTATTTAAATAAAATCAAAAAATTATAACGACTTTATAGAATATTATAATCATTTTATATATAAATTAATTACTGCATTATACATGAATAGAGAGGATTTAGCCATTTATCCATTTACTCCATAATTTTAGACTATTTACAATCCAACCCTTGTCCATCCAATGAGTGCTTTTATTTCTCGACAATCTTACAGAAACAATTAATTATAACGAAACAAATTAAATAAGTTAAATGTTGAAAATTTATATCCTAAAAGACAACATGATTAAAGACATATCTCTTTACCTAGAGCTTTATAAGCAGTTAAAAAATAATAAATTGAATGTATAATTAAATTTCATATCTAAGAATAGAGAAAAGTGTCTTTATATAAGGAAACAACAGTAAGTTTAGCATATTCAGATTCAAAAAATGATGATTCAATCGTCCAAAAAATAGATAAATTTTAAAATTTATAAAATACTTAATTAGGAACTTAACCAGATCTTGTTGAAGATAAAAAAACAATAATAATAGACTTAAGAAAATCTTTCTCTAAAGTCAATGGAAACAATAAAACTAAAACTGTATTAAACAATATTTTAGGAGTATAATAAAAACGAAATGATAATGAAAATGAATATTTCATCTCAATTATGGGTTTATAAATTAAAGCCTCCAAATTGTAAGAACAATCATTTGTAAGAACTAAAGCTCATTCTTAAGAAAAGGAAAGGGAATAAACAAAATAATCTATAGAAATAAGAGAAAGCATTACACGATCTGTTCAAAGAAGAAGAGAATCCCCTTAAAGTAAAATTAAAAATGTCTCATAATAAAGCATGAGAAATAATTAAAATTTTAGATTTTCATTGAATGAATACGCAAGTTTGAGCAGAGATCAACTTTTCTAAATAAAACTCTTGAATTATCATTACTTTTTATTTATGGTATCAACACAAAGCAATTTTTATGTAGTTCCATCCAATAATTAAATTGAATTATAATTTAAAGTTGGAAAAGGAAACAACAGTTTATTGATCAAAGAAACATTTAAATAAAGATGGTGGTGGACATTAAATTAAGAATCAGAAAATAAGGAATTAAATTTTATTTGGACTTAAATTAAAGTACCTTAATACATGAATCTATAAGAATGGAGTAAGGAATCCATCTAAATTTTTAAAAAGTCTGTATCAACTATATCAGCTGATATAAAAAGACCAAAAAAACTATAATCTCCTTAATCGTAAAAAAAAACTTCAAGATTTGGAAAATTTGATGATCCTTTACAAAAAATAATGAGTGATTAGGACATTAATGAACTAAAAAGTATAGATAAATCAGTTTAAGGTTTTTTAAAATTTGCTGAAAAAAGAGGATTAAAAATTATAGAAAATATTGATAAAGTATATCATTATATTAATTTAGATTCATAATCATATTGAAAGAAACTACCATCTTGGTAATAAAAAAGCAATGTTTCATAATATGAAAAAGTATTACGAATTGACAAAACAAGACTTGTTTTAACATTTACCAGTCACATTTCATGTATCAGGAGTAAGAGATAAATCATATTCATAATTTTTGGAATATTATAAAGAAAAGTATATTTAATTATTTATAAGGAAGGGAAACGGTATTTGGATTGTAAAACCAGGAGAATTTACTAATAGAGGAAATGGAATTATTGTTTGCCAAAATTTAAATGAAATTCATAGAATTGTAAATAAAAGGCAAACTCATTCTAATGGAAAACCTTTTACTTATTTAATTTAAAAGTATATTGAAAAACCTTTTTTATATAACAAAAGGAAGTTTGATATTAGATGCTATTTTTTGATAACTTAATTAAACAATGTAATAAGAGCATATTGGTATGAAGAAGGTTATTTAAGAACATCTAGTGAAGAATTTAATATCAATGATGTGAGTAATTAGTATGTTCATTTGACAAATGATGCAATACAGAAATATAGTGAAGCTTATGGAAAATTTGAAAACGGAAATAAATTATCTTTTGCAGAATTTTAAAGATATTTAGACAAGTGGCATAGTAATGAACACTTGGATTTTTATAAAGATTTATATCCATAGTTAAAAATGATAACTTTAAATGCTATAAAATCTGTTTATCATAAGATAGAGCCATATAAGAAAAATTATAATTTCGAAATATTTGGATTAGATTTTATGATTGATGAAAAATTTAAACCTTATTTAATAGAAATAAATACTAATCCGTGTTTAGAACTTAGTTCTCCATTATTAGGTAGAATAATTCCAGCAATGGTTGAAAATGCTTTTAGGTATTTATATATTTAATTATTATAAGATTATCAATAGACACTTTGGTACCACCTCCAGAATCATCATCATGGCCTCCTAATAAAAAACATCTTCTTTTTTATGATAATTTATTAGAAAACAATAGATTTTAATTATTGTTTGATGAAAAAGAAGAAGGTTAAGAAATAAGAACCATGTATAGCAATTAAATTAATGATGATTAAATTGATGAAATGAATGAAGAGGAAGAAGAATATAAATCAGATGACGATTGATTTATTTAAACTAAAAAATCTTATTACTCAATCAGAACCCATATAATCTTCAGCAAGAACTTCTTTGACTTCAGCAACATAATGACACAACATTCTTTCAATTCCATTTTTTAATGTAACTGAAGATGAAGGACATCCTGCACATGAACCTTTCATATATAAATGAACAATCCCTTTTTATTCATCAAACTCTCTAAATACAATATCTCCACCATCTTCTTATACTGTTGGTCTTATTCGAGTATCAATTATCTCTTTAATTAATTGTACAGCCTAATTTAATTTACATAATACTTCTGAATCATCTTCATTTATTTAAGTATCTTAACTTTCTTTATAACCATCTATAATTAATTGTTTTTCTTATCCATCTGAATCTAATTAATAATGTTCCATTATATTTTCAAAAATTTATGGTTTTAGTTCTTCCCATCTGCTTTCTTCTTTTTTAGATATAGAAATATAATCTTTTCCATAAAATACTCTAGTCACTCCATCAATCATAAATAGTTTTTAAGCTAATGGAGAACATTTTGCTTCTCTTGGTCTTGTAAAATCATAGGTTCCATTTAACATAACTTACTTACCACCTGGAATAAATTTCAAAAAATTTGGATTTGGAGTAGGTTTGGCTTGAATAAACAATTCGTAAATAATCTTAAAATTTAACATTTAATTTAAATAATTTAAAAAATGTTAATTTATTAGCAATCACATAATTGAACAAGTACATGATGTTTTTATATCTCTTCTAAAATCCATATTCATTAAAACTACAGGATCTTTTTTATTTGTGTCATCAAAATACCAAACCTTTTTCTCAAAATATCTAATTATGTAAAAAAATACCTCAAATTACTTGCTGAATGAATAAGAGAAGGATTTGAGATTTGTTTATTATAACCAATTAAAGTAATTTCATTTAATTTAAATGATATTGCTTATATTTGAAAAGTTTAGCAAGTATTTCCTCCAACCACGATTAAAGCTTTTTATGAAAAAACTTCATCAACCATTTTAGTGACAGATGCATTATAAAAATGATTATAAACTTTTTGAGTAGCTACAATATTCTAGTATTTTATTGTAAGAGTATCAACAATTGAAAATTTACCGAAATTCAAACCTAGATTAGCTTAATCAGTTTAAAAAAACTATATAATAAATAATTATTACTAATTTTGCTCTAGCAATATGTTCTAAAACTAATTTCAAACTTACATATTCACAAGTTTGATTAGCTTCAATTAGTTCTTAACTTATTTCTTTTTCATACTCTAATAGTGGGTTACCTCCCATAAAAAAAATATATTTTGAATCTACTGATCTATGTTAAGGATCAAACTTTTCTTTATCTCTATTATCCTTATCTTACCAAATAAATCCTTTATCCTTAATTAAATCAAATACGATTGGATTCATTCTTGATTTAGTCATTGTTATGGTAAGAACAGGTGTAAGAGTAACTTCTCTACGCTTAATCTCAAATACTTTAATAGTTTTTAAAGGTTTTTTCTCTCCTCTTTATAGATGATGTCCACCTATAACAAGTAAAACACTTTTCCATTAATATTCATGTTCGCATTCAATTAAGTATAAAAGGGGATCTTACCTTGGCTTATCTTCATTTAAATTCAAAGAAACAAGTGGTTTATCCTTATTGTCATTAATTAACATATCGGAACTATATATATGAACTTTTCCTTATTTATTATCATATATGTAAAAGCGGCCAGTTGTTTTCTCTTAAACTATCGACAGTGATGGTCTTTAACCTCCAAAATCTTGTAGATTTAAATGTTTCTCCCATTTCGTATTTTTTACCAAATGTTTGCTCGTTAGAAATAAACTTTTTGGAGTTATGAAACATAATTTAGATATCTAATTTTTGTAGAGTCTAACATATTATTTCTTGACAACAACAGGTTCTTTTGCAATTGATGTACCACTACCTCTTTATTCTCTTTCTTTCCTTTTTATTCTTGCTATTTCTACTGATTAATTTAGTACTTTTATCTAAATTCTTTACTTCGTCATAAGGGATTCCATCATTCTTAAATATTGTCTTGTAATTGTATATTAAGTTGAGAGATGTTATTTCAGGGATTTTACTTAGCATTTATACTTCTTAAAAAAAGTCTGTCTTTTCTTCGGCTGATTCTTCCACAATATTTTCATTAACTTATTCTGTTTTAATTGTGACTGGAGCATAAAATGCTCTAAAACTTAAATATATCACTATACTAATTTCCTTTTAAAATATTATCAATTGTCAAACTTGAATCATCTGCTGGTTTTTGAAGCATCTTGCTTTCTTTGTTTTACTATTAAGTTCCATAGATGTTTCTTGATATTCAAATGGAATACCTATTCAATGTAATAATATCATTTATATCAATACTGTCACTCATTTTAATTAATAATTCATATGTTAAATATATCAAGTTTTGATTTTGTATTAAATCCATCAGCAAGCGAAGCTGTCTAATTGATACTCTTTTCATGTCTTTTCTTAATGAACTCATCCAAAGGTGTTTACTATCTCATTTTACGACCACTTAAGACTAGATATGCTTATTTTTTGAGTTGTTTCTCATTTTCGTCTTTTACCTTTAAATATGAAATATGTGATTTTGATATCTATAGAGGTTTAGTCTTGAATTCTGATCGATATTGTTATTTTAACTTCTCTAAGAATACTACATCACCAGGCCTATTTCAAACCAATTTTACCTTTCCTGCCTTTTAAACAACAAGAAATTATAAAAAGTTATCTTTGCATTACAAACTTAATTATCTTCTCATAGAATCGTTAATCGCTATAGATTTACTATTAATATGTGGAAGGAACAAGAGTTCATTAAAATTCTATTCTATTTTTTTATTACTCTGCATTCAAATTATCCTATAACAATAAATATTTATTTATCAATTTGATAATTAAGTTAATATAATACGATATTTTAGAATGATAAAATATATTTTCAAATTCTTGATCTCATTATTTTTATTCTTGATTATTTTACTATCTAGCCATTTCATTTCTTATTGCATATTTGTGTAAAGGATTTTAATTTAAACTAAAAGGTTTGGAATTAGAATTTGAATTATTTCCTTAACCATTAGTATTATTTCCATCGACATCTCTAAATCGCGAAGGTTTCTATTATTATTATTATTCAACTCTATTTAATTATCTTCCTTAAGCTGATGGACTATTAAATCCATTATTTAATGGAGAATCTTTTTAATATAAAAAACAATATTACCTATTTAATCAGTATGACCATTTAATAATGGACTATTTTAATATAAACTGTCATTAGAACAATCTTTTCTTAATCTCGATGATGCAGAAATTAAAGGTGAATGAAGTGGTGAATTACTCAATTATTTTAGTCTCTATTTATCAAACTTTAAATGCTCTTCCTATAACTTATGGGCGAATTCTTCATTTTCTTCAAGCTATTTTAACCTTCTACCAAAATATTAATGTCCAAGAGCCTATTAAGCAGAGATTCTTTTATTTGGTTCTTTTTCTAGCATCTTTCTTAATAAATCATATGCTTATTATGGAACATTCTCAAATAATGCTCCATCAAATGATATTTCAGATTTTCTATTTTTAGCCAACACATCATTATAGCTTTTACCTGGAAATGCAGGTTTACCAGTTAATCTATAAAAATTAAATAAAATATTATTTACAGAATATAAAATATTAATCCTAAGCTATATACATCACATATTGGATCATATCTTCCTCCATCTTTACAATTTACTACTTCTGGGGCTACAAATCCTGGTGTTCCACATCTATTAAAAAGATATGGAAATTCATTAGCATTTTATGCTAACCCAAAATCAGCTATACAAACTGACTAAATATTGCTAATGATTCATTATATTTTACATTTACTTTGGCTTTCTAAATAATATATTTTCTGGTTTTAAATCTCTATGCATTATATGTTTCGAATGCATTTATTACAAACCTTCTAATAATGTAAATATAAGCATTTCAATTTCAAATGAATTAAACTATGGTCTATTTTTTACTTTATCATACAATGAACCTCCTTCAAGTAAATCAAGTACCATATATAAGGAATTATCAGTTTCATAAACTTCATGCAATTTTATAAGTGCATGACTATCAAGTTATCTCATTACTTAAATTTCATTCAATATAGACATCTATTATTTAATTGCAATATTACTTTTCCTTTATCCTAACCATAGGCTACTTCTTTTGAAAATGCTTTTATTGCAAAACTTCTTTCATCTTCTAAACGATCAGCCAAATATACTGATGCAAAATTACCTTTACCAATTTTACGATGTGCTTTAAAACTTTCATGAAATCCTCTTTAATTTATATATTTTGCTAAATAATCTCTCCATTTTTTCAGAAGTTAGATATCATCTGAAAATAACTTAATTTTATGCTAAATATTCTCTCTTTCAATCAATAATCCTAAAGGTTTTCCAACTTTAAACTTTTCTTCAACTTATTCTCTTAATAACTAAAATTTGGTTTCAAATGACAATGAAATGAATTTGTTCTTGTTGGCTACAATTATTTAATTAGAGAATCCATGTAAAACTCTGCGTTTTCCTTTTGGAGTTATAAATTCCCCTACTATTTCTGGTTGCTGATCTTAACCTTAAAGACACTCTGTTAATTTATAATTCATTTAAAAATATCATTTTTAAGATTATTCGTCATAGATCTTATTGATTATCTCATCTACTCTCCATTTAAGAATTTTATGTTTTTCAATAAACTTGCATAAATAGTTGATACTCTGATCCGTCATTATAGCTTTTACTTATTCTGCTTTAACTAAAATCTATGTACCTATAAACCTTTATTCAAGTTCTGATTATAATTAATAATTTATACATTCCATGATGATATCTAAGAAAAGACAAATTGTAAATTATAATGCACATTCTAAAGTGTTTTCTAAGTAATAAAACCCCCAATTTGTAAAAAATGAATCTATTTTTGAAGGAGCTTTCAATTTAATTGGTATTTCAATAACCTATCCAGGTATAGCTTCAGGTAAAAGAAATTATTTAGTTTTGAATGGATTATCATTACATCTTATTTTCATAGTTTGAGGCCAAGTTTTAGAACCAGAATTCTTTAATACTAATCTCCATATAAATTCCTTATCTGGATAGCTTTAAACCTATTAATTTTAAATCACCTCTATCTTATAAGCTTCTTAATTTATGTCTATTTCTATTTTAGGATATTAAAACTATGGACCTAAAGGAGCTTAAGGTTAAATTTAATCTTTTTAAGAAGGGTAATATCCTTATAATAAAGATTGATAATTATTTTATTATTCTTATGGATTTTGTTATTATTATAAATTTTGTTAATGGCATTATTATTAGGATTGTTATTGCTATAATTAAGTCATATTTTATTAAATTGGTTAATGCTCAATTTCTTTATTAGGCTTCTATTGAATCACTTTTTCAAGTTGGTTTTATTATTAACGATCTGGCCTTACTTATTATTATTTTAAATTTTAATCTATCTATATTACACTAGCGTTGTAGATACTAGACTATTCCATAAATTTAAGATCTAATTATTTAAATGAAAAATATACCTTCTTCTGTTAATTATCCTATATTATTTTCAAATATAAATAATTTATATGTGGACAATTGCAAAATTTTTAAAAGTATCACTAATGCATCTTCATGTATTATCTTGAATAGATAATTTTATTCCTTACTTCAAGAGGCTCTTGATTATAGAAAAAGACGAGATGATAACTAGGATCTATTTATGGATAGAGTTTCTCTATTGAAGATCTTATTGCCTGCATTGTTGTTATATGAAGAGGCAGTTTATGAATCTTTCTATTAAATACTATTTTGAATGGCATTTCTAAAAATTAATCTTTTATAATATATAATAAATTAGAAAAAACATATTTTTTAATGTGGAATATAGATAATAATCATGGTTCTCAATCATTTTAAATATTTTTTAAGTCAGTCATTGTTTTTTATTCATTCAAAGAGTCTGCTGGAATTAAAGTTAAAGCTAATTTTGTTAAATACATTGCATTATCTAACCTTAAAATCCATTTGTAAAAACATACAATATATATGATAATCAATACCAATCCCATTGTATACATATAAATCTGAAACGTTAATATAACAGAATCTAAAGTGTTTTTATTTAAACTTAACATTGTGCTTGCAATTTGTTCCATTATCTTTCCTTAAAATAGAAAATGATGGATGAATTCTGTTGTGTGAACTTACCCAGATAAAAACTGTTCTAATTAAATTTCATCAATTATAGCATAATCATTTGTTTACCAAAATGTTTTCAATGTTTTTGAAAATTCATGTACCATATCGACTATTCCTCCAGATACATAGTCTTAACTATTATCTGAAGATGCTTCTAAATTAGTCGAACAAGATGGAACCAAACTAGGATTGCTTTCACAAAGTGAACTTCTAAAAGGAATTAACAAAGAGTTTTTTTATTCTTCTAAAAGGGATGAACTTGATGCTAACTGATCATAAATTACAGATAATTAATCTTAAAAATCTTCTTATAAGGAAAAAAATTCTGTTAAAACTCTATCTAAATTAGATTAAATTTAAGATAAATCAAAAATTGAATTTAATTTTTTATTTACTAAATAATCTGTTTTTAATATTTCTCCATAAACTACTAAAGAGTCAAACTTTAATTTAAATTCTATTAATTATAAATTAAGAGTTATAGCTGGTTTAATAGATTAGACCATTGATATAGACAATCCTAATGCACCAAGTAAATATCCAGCTAAAAATAACCATGAGACAAATAAGAATGCATAATTCCAAATTTATGGTAATCTTAAGTTGTATACTCTCGATGTTAAGGAACTGTTTTGATATCTCTTTTTAAATTTCTACTTTTCGTTTTTTGCAGCACTTGATCCACTCTAAGATTAGAGAAAATTTAAATCTTATTTTGCCTTTACAAAATTTGATTCAAAAATGCATTTAACAAAGTTTGTTTATTTCCATTAAACTTATTTTGGATCCTTTAAAATAGTCTTAATTTCATTGTAAATTCTATTAATCTAATTTACATCATCTTCACTTAATTTTGTTATTAAGATTAATATTTTTCTAATTAAATAGTTTACATCCTATAAAACTTTGATTATCAAAATCATAAAAGCTGTTATCACACAAAGCTCTGCTACCACAACATAAATTAAAGCATTAACAATTTATTATTCATAAAATATTAAATTTTCATTAAGATAATTTATATAACTTTTACTAACTGTAATTACTTGGACCATATTTAATTTAAAAAATAAATTTAATGATAAGAATTTCTCATCTAATTCATTTTTTATTTACTAATTTAAAGTGATTGAATTTGAGGAAATTTATTCTAAAAGTATTGTCAGATCAAATGTAATGTCAAATTGCTGTAAATTATTAATTATTCTGAGATTATCATTTAAGAGTATTACTTAATTTTCAAAAGAAATGATATCTTCATATATACTTTTTAAATCTAATTCGATATTTAAGGCTAAATTACTAAATTCCGTTATAAGAGCATCATTTACTAATTAACTATATTTAACTAGTCCTAAATTCTAATGAAGAATATTGGATGAGAACATCAAAGTTTTTAAAAAGTAATTATTAATTTTTTCTGGATATTGAACATAATTTAAATTCGTTTAAAGAATTCCAAATTAATCTTAAAATATTGTTAAATTTATTACCTTAAACGATGTAAATCTTAATGAAAACTAATATTAAAGCAACAAAACAAACAATAACATTTAATATGATTATTAGCCAAATTTATGTATTAATTTCTCCTAATTGATAGAGTGATCTAATTAATAAATATGGAGATTTTGATGATGATGTTTTTGTTGAACTTGGTCTAGATGATTATTTAATATCATGATCTAAAATTTCTTAATTATTGATATTTTTTCTTAAAATATCAAGAATATCATTTTTTTTTTTTTATTTTTAGCCTTTTGAACTATCAGACTTTTTTTCTATTAGATCAGAATCATATTTAGGATCTTCGAATTGTTCTTGTTGTTCAGGTTATTAAGCATTTATTTTACTTTCTTCAATTTCTTGAACTAATTACTGAAAATCTTAATCTTCTATTCTTGAAATTTATGGATTTTCAAAGACTACTTTAGATTCATCAAGTTATTTAACAATTTTAGAATTTGATATGTCATTTATTTCCATAATCTATTCTAATAAATGTTAATCAGAAGGACCTTTTAAATCAGCTGTTTCATTTAATTATTCAGAACTTTACTAAAAATTTCTTGTTATAAAGTTTTTTGTGTTGGATGAATCTATTCCAGTTTGATATTCTCCATATTTAAGAGCCATCAAAGTTCTCCGAATAGATTTTTTATATGGTATAATTGAACTTGTATCAGACCTTTCAAATTCACTTAGAGGTTCTAATTTTAATATAAAGTAAGGAAATCTTTCTTTTTTTGTTTCCATAGTTTAAAATTCAATATTGTATTTAATTTTAAGAATATCACATTTAATAGATTATTCATCATGATATTTCGATAAAAAATCAAGTATTTAATTCATCCTTTCTATTTGTAACATAGGGATATTTAATCCTTTAATTTTAATCTAATCTTCTTAATTAATGAAACTTCTTGCTGAGATTGCTGAAGCATGAGAAACTAATTAAGATTTTATTGTAGTTAAATTATAAGATGATAATTTTTGATCTTATTTTTATCTATCATTAAAAAATTATCCATATTATAACCCAATATCTTATAACTATTCTGGAAAATAAGTATAATCAACAAATTCTGTTTCTGTCTCATTAGCTAATTTTCTTAAATTAATTAAAATAAATGGCATCAACATAAAGATATACCCTTATTCAACAAATCTTTCCATTGTCATATTTGGATTATTAGGTAAAATTCTTTTTTCAAAAAAATCTTAGCTAGAACCAATTATTTTGCCATAACTATCAAAAATAATTATATCATAAGAGGGCTGCAATCTAAGAACTGAACCTGTTAATATAAAATCAGAGGGATCTTAAAATAAATTTCCCAATTTAATATAACATTCTCTTAAATAGCCCTATTTTTATAAATAAAAAGAATGAATGCTTTAAACAGAATATTTAGTAAATCCTTTTGAAACAAAGTCATTTAATGAAGCATCATGTAATGCCCTTAAATCAGGTGGTAGAAAAGATGATATTAGAGTTTACTAATATAATAATTATTTTTTATACTCCTGCTATGTCTTAAACATTTTGAAATTCAAAAAAATTAGCCAAAGTCAATAAATTCTTATTCACAATATGACCCTTCTTTTTTACAAGACTTACTAATATAATTACAGCATCATCTTTAAGTAAAGCACAATCATCAATTATTTCAATTGATTTTTATCTATCTTCCTTTATTAATTCTTCAATTTATTTCTCTGCTTAAAATGCCTAAATAAATAACAATATAATATATTACTCTATCAAAATCATTTAAAATGACTGAATATAGAATAGAATATAACTTCAAATTTAATATATTAATATTTCTATCTTCTGGATCTAATGTCTTGAGAACTGTTTATAAACTTATATCTTTTGATCTATCAAAAAATACCTCCGGAATTATAATTGTTGCTTAATTATTAAATATAACTATTACATTTAATTTTTTTATATATTTCATCTATAGATTTACATAATTATAGCTATTCTTTATGAAATGGTTCCAAATCATCATAACCTTCAATTAAATTATCCCAAAATTTTTATTTCTTTTCTATAACATCTATTATTTTAGGAGTTATTTCTTAATAAAAATTAACACTTCTCCACAATTATGCGATTGTTAATTTCTCTTCCCTTGCCATATATTTTTCTTTTCTAAATTGCTATTAAATCATTCTTTCTTGAAGATATAAAATTGAAAATTCCAACTCAGCAGAAATCTTAGATGTCAATTCTCTAAAATATAAGGAATTGTCACTAGTCTAATCTTATTAATATCTTCGTAATTCAACATAACCAATCAATGGTCTTTAAGCTGTTGAAGATAAAAAACTAATGTATTATAATTATAATTGCTCAAATTTAGGTTTATGAATTTCACCATTTTTTACTACAGTTCTACTATGACATGTCTTAAAAATACAACTTACTACATCAATTGTTAGTTTCTGTAATTATATTTTATCATTAAAATTAACTTATGATAATTTAGACCTTTAAGAAGGACATTTAGGTCTAAGACAATTCTCATTATGTTTTATCAATTATTAAAAGTAAGTTAATTTGTTGTATTCACTTGTTTAAAAATGATTAAAGTGACTATAAAATTAATCTACTCCTATAATTATATATTTCTCTTATAAATTGAAACGTGAATTATAATTAGTCATAGCAAATTCATGAAATAAAGAACTTATACTAGTTGAAACTCCGCTTATTAATCCAGCAACAAACAAAGTCCAAAATAATTATCCATCTGATATTATTTCCAAAGAAAACATTAAACATATGAAAATACTACTAAAAAGTACCATAGCTACTTTCAAAGATGGTTCTCGAAATGGATCCCTATAAGGACAGCTATAAAATTAATCAACTATTTATAAAAATGCATATGAAAATCCAAATATATATTTAACAAATGTAATTTCTTAATAAAATCTAAAAATAATTAGTAAGTAACTAATTGTATAATTGAACAATTGAACATATGCAAATCTTCTTTTAAAAGAATTATTTTCAGCAAATCTATGATTTCTTAACAAATATATCAATATTATTCCTTAACAATACTACATTATTGCGTTAAAATATCCAAATACAAAATAATCAGTTAACATAAATTTTACACTAATTACAATTATTGGTATTGTAAAGACACTATAAAAAGTAAAGTACCAGTGTAAAATAGAGTTAACTGATTCTATTTTTTTCTCTAAAATTAATCTCTATTTAAAGTTTAAGGCTACTCTTTAAGTTTCAAATGTTGCAATAAGTAGATAAAATAGTAAGATTATTTAAAAAGCAAATATAATAAATAGAAATATTTTGCTTAAGTCTTCTGTTAATATAGGCTCAAATTAAGAAAAATGTGACAGTAAAACAACATAATCAAATGCTTAATCTGAAGATCTTTCCAAAAATAAGCCTAATAATTAAACATGATGCAGTAGATGGGGAATAATAAAAAGCTCTTGAGGAAACTGTTTCATAAATATTATTATACTTAAAATCTAGGTTTAAACTCAATCGCAAATAGTATAGTTTTAATGTACCCACTACAAAATTCTTTTATCTTGTTCATCACTATCAAGATTTAAAAAATAAATTATTAAAATATATAATATTTATCAAAATTTGTCTAATAAAGAAAAAAGTAAGAGTTGAGTTCCAATAATAAAATGCGAGTTAATTTTCTTGATAATTTTTTTAAATATAAAGGTGAAACCTAGACTATTTAATAATTGAATTAAAAATTGGATTTTTATATTATTGAACAATTTTCTTTTTGTTAAGAGAATTTGCACAAAATTTCTTATTCACTTCATCATCTTATGTTTCTCCTTTTTGATCTAAAATATATATTCTCTTGAAATTAGATAATTATTTAGATTTTATTAATCGATAAACTTTTATCCGAAAATCATCATCTAAAATTTTTTTTTTCTATTTTTTAAAATAACAATAAATATATTCAGTAGTTTTTCAATTATAACAGAAATTTAAGAACTAATTTTTGAAAGAATCAATTCGAACATACAATTTTTAATAATAAAAAACTAAAATTTATTAAGAATTTTAAAGGCAGATTCCTTTTATATAATTGAAGATTGTGAAAGAATGTATAATTAAGTGTTTTTTTTAACATTTTGGTTTAATGAATTCCAAAATACTCATTTATTTTACAAAGAAAATTTAAGATCTAAGTCTCTAGTTTCATTAACTTTACATTTGATTATAAAAAATATTTTGTAAAATAATCTTCATGTTAAATTAATAAGAATAATAAAATTTTAGATTTAAAGTTTATTAATCATACTTAATATTATTATAAACAATTTAAGGATTTAATGACACTTAAATTAATTTATAATTCATTTTAAGCAAAAAATTTTTGCATTTAAACTATATAAAAAATTACAATTATTATATACATTAATAAAAGCTTTTGATCGATTTTTATAATTTGGTTTTCTTAAATGAAAACAACTTCACTTCAAAATTAACATTTTAGATATATTGGTAACTGTTAGAATTTTATAGAAAAATATCCCTTTAATTTAAAATCATGATTTACAATGGGTGTACTATTTTAAGTTTTTCAACTAGACATAGTGTTAGGTTATTTTTGATAACAATAAATAAATTTGAAAAAATATGAAAGTTAAGAATTTTAGTTTATAACATTTAATTAAATTGATTAAGATTGATTTATTAAATGATTAATAAACATACAATAATTTAAATTTAATTTACTCAGTCCAGAATTTATAATACTTCTCGATCTTTATGGCTTTTCAGATTTTGAATCATTTATAATATTTTTTTGTTATTTTTGAAATGCCCTAAGATCTAATTGTTAAATTTACCTTATTTAAATCGTTTTTAAACTATAAGAGCAACAGTAATTCTCACATTTTTAACAGGATCTAAACTGAGAGATACAAATTATTCTAAGAAAGTAGATTCAAATTCTTTGAGGGTGATTAATTTTGAACACATATAAGCAAATCTATTAATATGAAATAAATAAATACGCTTGTCTCTGATTAAAACGATGACTGATACCATACGCTTTAATATTTTCAATTAAACATTAATAATAAATTTAACTTGTTTCATCTTCGGTATTCAAAGATTACAAAATAGAATGCATTTCTTTGGCTGCTTATTTTCTTACAGTGGCTACAATATCATTACATAATTTCAATGTAATTGGAACAATAATTTAAAATATATTGTCTACATTATATAATGGAACCAAATGTTTAATTTATTTGGCTATCAGATGGCGTATTCTCCATTTTTTTTAATCTCTCTTTATAAGATAAGATTTTTTTTATTTACTTGTATAATTAAAACAACATCTAATAAATTATCTCTTTTTTCTTCATCAAATATTTTAATAAATTCCCATAAATTCTTTGCAGCTGCATATTTCACTTCATCATTTAAATCTTTTAAAAATGAATCTAAAATTATAACCAAGTCTTTTTCAGCATTTCTTGGACCACAAGATTTGGCAATAATATATAGATTTTCTGCTAATATTTTTCTAACTCCTTTATTTTTCACTAAATTCTATAATAATTTTAATAAATTTGGCCACTTATCTTATCCAAATATTTCAACAACTTAATGAAAAGATGCAGCACAAGCATCAAAAATTTCTTAATCTGCTGAAAAATATTCACAAACATCTTTATTTGTTGATCTACAATATTCATTTAATAATTATTCATTTTTTTAATTACAATCATGTAATGTATGAATGAATTATCCAAGAATATTGAATGCTGATGCTTTTACCCATTTATTTGAATCCCTATAAAAATATATAAATAATATACTTAAGAAAGTCAACCATTTTATTTGATAACTCATTTTATCGAACTTATTTAGGAGCTATCTCTGCTAATTTGACAATAATATCAACACAAGCTCTACGTATATGCCAAGAGGATTTATCTTCTGATTTTCTATATAAAATATTTAATTTTAGAATTACTAAAGATAATGAGGAAGTAATTTAGATACAAAATAATCAGGTCTTACTGATTTAGCTATTTATGGTAATTAATAAATAGATTCCTTTCTTACTCTAACACTTATATCCTCACTTGCATTTATAAGTTCTATTGATATGAATGACTCTAAAAATTATTAATTGGCTATATGAGCATATGAACCAAAAAATTATAAGGCCACCATCTTATTTTCTTCATTTGATTCATCATGTGCCATTAGTATTAAATCATTTAATATCAATTCATTTATTTCATTACTAGTGAGTTTCTAAGCTATTCTAGCTATTTATTTTTGAACCTCAGATTAAATGTCAAAATTATGATATTTTATTAATTTCATCAATGAAGGTAATAAATGTTGTTTAATTTAAGATACATCTATTTCATCTATCAATATATTAAGTTGATGAATTAAGATTTTCTTTATTTCATCACCATCATTTATAACTTAATTTATTATTGATGTTAATTATTTTTATGCTTCAATCCCTATCAAAATTATCAATTCAGCTAAATGTTTAGTATAAGCTTATCTATTATATTATCGTAAAACAATAACATTACCTTTCTTGCAAATTTTACTAATTCAAAGTCAAAAGTTTTGCCAAAGCTTTTTCTGGTTCATCTTCTATAAAAACAGCATCATCTTCCCTTGACTATATATTTTATAAATTGAATGATTCTTCTTCACTTATTTGTAGTAAAATCTTTTTCTACTCCTCTAACTCAATTAAATAATATTTAACCAGCAGATAGCACTTTTATTCCAAATTCTTCTACATTATCCTTCACTTCTGGTTCTTTATTTTCATTTTGCTTTTCTTGTTAATTCATATTTTTATAAATAAAAAAATAATTAATACAATATCATTTATATTACATCATATTTTTAATAAAGAATAGATATTTATTAATATTTTGATTTTTTGACTCAAAATAGATATAATTAGAAGAATAAAAAAATGAATTGAGAATAGAGAATTGATTTATAATATAGATAAAATATATAATTAGATAGCGAAGATGAGTTTACTGATTTTTGCAATAGTTTCCCTACTCTTATAATCATAATTAATAATATGGTAATGCCTAAATTAATTAATAACTAAATAGGATTAATTTATAATACTGTATAATTTTCAAAATCAATCAATCAATTAATTTATTATTATTATTACTAAAATTAAGAGAACTACAGAAAAACAGATTCTAATGTTGATTAATTAATAGTAAAATCTTAGATATAGTTCTAAGATTCTAAATCTGATAACAATTAGAAGACATTATAAAATTAAAATTGATTTGTGGGAATCTAATAAATGATAAAAGATAATTACATGTATAGATTGATATTCTTCATGTGTTTCTTATGTTTCTGTAGCTTAGGAATATTTTTGTTTAATAATATTAAGAATTTATTGTCTATTGTTAGGATTTCTGATAGTTATTTTATATCCTTCTCCATATCTATCTCTAAGTTCTTTTGGATTGCCTAAACAAAATATTTCTCCATTAATCATAATAGCAATTCTATCACATAAACTTTCTGCTTCATCCATAGTATGAGTAGTTAATACTACTGAACTTTATCTAAGTTTGACTCCTAATCTCAGAGTTTTCCATAAGAATCTTCTAGCGATAGGATCAACTCCTGTACTTGGTTCATCAAAGAATTAAATACTTGGTCCTCCAATAAGAGCATTACTAACACAAAGTTTTCTCTTATTTCCACCTGACAATAATCCAGATTTACGTGAGATATATTCTTCTAATTGCATAGTGCTTAAAAAGTAAGCAACACTTTAATCAAGATCAGTTCCATTTAATCCTTTCATTCTTCCAAATAAATATAAATGTTCTTAAGGTGTAAGATTTTCCCAAAGACAATCAAATTATGGACATATACCTGTATCTCTAAAGATATCAGATTATGTTCTATCTATTTCAACACCTTTTATTTTAACACTACCAGAGGATTTAGTAATGAGTGAAGTTAAGATATTAAATGTAGAAGATTTTCCAGCTCCATTAGGTCCTAATAAACCTAAAATTTCATTCTAAGCAACACCAAATGTGATATCTTTAACAGCTAAAAAGTTAGTTGGATTGTATTGTTTTTATAAATGTAACACTTTAATAGGAGGATTAATTGTTCCTTTTGAAATTTAATCAATCTCTTTAAGAACTTCTGGATCATTAATTTATGCAGGTATATAATTATTACATCTTAAATTATTTGAATACATTCCTTTATAATATTTCTTATTCTCTATTAAAATATTGAGAAAGAAGAATCCAACACTTTAAATAATCATTAGTAAACAGTATACCCAATATTCTTTAGATATGTATGGAACACTTCCATTTCCATTTTCAATATCAATAGACTTAATAATTGCTTAGAAGAATGAATAAAAAGGACTGATTAATGAACAAAGCAAATCCACTAATTTTATTACAACTGTTTATCCATCTGATAATTAATCTGAAGAATTCCCTTACATAAATATTAAGGCAACAATAAGCCAGGCATTTAAAGGAAGAGCAAAAAATACAAAGTAATTTAAAAATGGAAATGTTTTCATTGCTTTTGATGCTTTTTCATATAATAATGTTCCAATAAAATAAGAGAATACAATAAAGGAAACTCCAAATGAAAAAAATATAAAAATTAGTTTACCTATTTTTTCACTAAGAAATTCATATGAAAGCGAAATCAAAATTATTAAGAATATCATACCAAAATAAATAGTAAAGTCAAATAAAAATGTTCCTAACCAATAAGGAAATGGTCTACAACCCATAGCAACTAAAGCATATTTTAAATTTGTTTCTCTTTCTAAAACTGGTTACATTATAAATAAAGATGAATTAAAACAAAGTGCAATAATAGCAAAGAGAGAAAAGAAAATCATTCTTATAATTTTTGTTTATTCATCCTCCTCTCCCAAATCCATTTCTCCAATTACAATAATTCCAGTTATCATCAAGGCAAACGGAATTAGAATAGCCAAATAATTACTAAAAGTTCTAATTGTTGTATAAAACTTCCTTAAATAAATAGCAAATGTCTATTATTTAAATGAATAGACAGGTTCTATAATAATTTTAATATATATTTATACCTCTATTTAAACAATTTGGTACAGGAACTTTAGATTTAAGTTCAGCAAATTGATCAGTACCAATGATACTATCTCTATCTTCATTTATACTTGTTCTTCCTTCAACCATTTTCTTTGCTTTTTCTAAAAATCTCTCTTCATCCATTCCTATATTAATAAAAGCATCTTCTAAAGAGTTTATTTTGAAATTAACAGATAATTTATCATCAAATTTCTTTTCTAAAGCTTTGAAATAGTTAAGTAAGAATTTCTTTTAATTAAATTTAATTTTAAATAGAATTGATAATTATGATGATTATGGATCTAGAATAGCTTAAGGTAGATTTTCTTAAGTAAAATGAATGATTTCATCTTTATCAATAACTTTATCTAAAATAGTAATAGATATAGAATATCCTTCTCCAAAGTTTTATTTAATATATTCACTTCTACCACATGCAAGTAATTTACCTGCAGCCATAATAGCAATTCTATCAGCTAATTCTTCAGCTTCATCCAAATGATGTGTTGTAAGTACAAGAGTTCTATTCTCTAATTTAACTTTTTCTAATATTTCCCATATTCCTCTTCTTGTTTATGCATCCATTCCTGAAGTTGGTTCATCTAAAAATAATACATTTGATCCTCCAATAATTGCTTAAGCTAATGATAATTTTCTTTTATTTCCACCACTTAATGTTTTAGTTATTTTATCTTTTTCATTATTTAATAATGTAGTTGTAAGAATCTATTATATTTCTTATTCTAAATCATTTCCTTCTAATCCTTTTATTCTCCCCATAAATTATAATTATTCTTTTACTGTCAACTCATCATATAAAACATCTCTTTAATTACATATACCTATCCTTTCTCTAATCTCTTCTAAATTACTCTCTAACTCTTAATCATAAACATACACCTTGCCTCCACTTAAACTTAATAATCCTGTTAATACATTTATTGTTGTAGTCTTCCCTGCTCCGTTATGTCCTAATAAACATAATATTTCTTTAGAATATAAATTTAAACTCACTTAATCTACTGCTGTAAAATTTCCAAACTTTTTCACTATCTATCTTATTTTAACTGATGGTTTCATATTCAAATAATTTCTTTATTCGTGATAATAAGCACTGGAACTATCATCATTATATGTTGATGATGCTACATTCCCTTCTTATTCATTCATTAATGGATTCTCTAAATCTACTTTTCGTTTCTCTATTTCATTTTTATTAAAATGCAAAAAAAATAAAGGATGCTTTGCAATCCCATATTCATTTGGAATTATTGCATCTAAATAAAAATACAACAATAAAAACAACACTGACAATATTACTAATTGTATTGCCATTGTCTCATAAGAAAAATAATAATTCACCACTATTGATAAAGTACGAAATGCTCCATATTATGTTGATAAATAAGAAAGTGCTATACATGTCTAAGGAAATATAGATATCAATATAAAAAAGAAAGTGCTAATCATATTTCATAATTATACTCTACCTTTAAAACTTCTCTACGAATCCAAAAAATGGCAAAATTAATGATACTACTAATAAAAGTGTAGTTATTTCATTTGCTGTCTTTGACTTTGAAAAAAATGTTGTCAAAAACATTGAATAATGAATCAATGATATCCCATAAATAAAATAAAGTCCAAATATTACATACCAATCTGTTTAAGAATCAAATCCATATATGTTTCTATCATGACTATAATTCATTATATATCCAAACCCAGTCCAAGATATAAAAAATATTATCATAGACTATTAATTCATATTACTATCATACCATAAATGTTTTAAAATAAGCATAAAGCATCCAACCTAATAAATATGAACTTTGTTTCAATCCCATAATCTATTATTATAAACAAAATTCTTACCTTTTGAGTCTCTTTAAACTTTTGTTCCTTCTCTTCACATAAATGTATTAACAGTGATCTTGGATTTGAAAATATTGCCAAAGAAACAAAAAATGGAGAAAAAAATGCTATCAATGAAGTTCCATCTATATCTTTTGCTGCCAAACTCAATCCACAAATTAAAGGGATAAGGGTTTCTGCTAAAAATTCTCTATTTCTAAATGAGCAAACTAGGTTTTTCTAGAAAATTGCCTTAACTTAGAAAAAATGTGTCTTATTATCCATATAAAATAATTAAAAATAAACCTATATAGACTATTTATAATTAATATTTGGCAACAATATAGTATCTATGTACAATCAAAAGTATTATCATTTCTCATATCAATCACAATTAAAAAAAGATTGATAACATATTTTTATGGAAATACTAAGACAATTATAAAAGAGATTTTTTCAACATCAAAAGTAAAAGAGCTAATTATTAATTAATATATCATAGTTTGGTGAATTGTTAAAGGAGAGATTAATGCAATAAAAGAAGTTTAAACCTTAATTTAGCAATTTTCATCAAATCAAAAAGTAAATGGATGTCATTGAGATTTCTTTATCAAGAGATTTTTTATTAATCAGAAATTCATAGTAATGTTGTATATATATAAAATAAACGAAAAATTACTTGAGTATTGATTCCTTGAACATTTCCAATAATTGTGATTAAGATTGTAAGTTTTAAAATATTTGTCAAAAGTTGAGAATTTTTATAAAATTGATTAAATTGATCTCATTAAATAAATTCTCAAATAGAAAGAAGAGATGAAATATTGTTTAGTTTTTAAGTAATCTAAAAATAATATAATGGATATATTTCAAAAAAAACATTGTTAATTTTAAAGTGAATTAAATGTAGAATTGATTATACATAAACTCTATTCACATACTTGTATTCGAATTAAAATAGTTTTATATTTATTAACATAACTTTCAATTATTTTTATATAGAAATTTCTGTATCAAATTCCATTTTTTATTTTAAGATACTATATTAGTATTAGTATTTTTTTATTTAATTCAATAAATTTCTTCATCAGAGTATTTTTAATTATTTTCTTGTTGATTTAATTTAGTAATAAAATTAAATTTCTATAGTTATAAATAAATAAGTGAAAACTTAACTTTTTTCCATCATTCTTTGCTTTTCTTGATAAATTTCTTATAATTTAAAAAAGAATTTTAAAATAATGATATTATTTTAATTGTTAATTTATTTTGTAAATTGTGTAGCTATATTTATTAGAAATTGATCCTGATATCTTTGTTTAGTATTTTAATAAATCTTAAGTATTCTTTGTTTCTAAGATATTGATATTTAAATAGTTGATTAATTCCATAAATAAAAATTGATTAGGAATTTTGCAATGATAAATAATTAATTTATTTACTCTACATAAAATTAAATATATCATAACTTCAGATCATCGCTTAATATGCCGCAAATATTGTCTAAATTATCACCTGTTAAATGAGCAAAAGCTCTTAATTTTCCCTGTTTATAATTTGTCTTTTGAACTTAGACTCTTAATTTAGTACCTTATTTAATCACTTCTTCATCTTCTTCTTTATATGATTCCTGAATTCACATAAAAAGACTTACATTAGAATAAGTGTAATTAATTGGTAATTTATCTCTAGGAATAATAAAATCAATAGGACCCAATTTAGCAAATACTGCCGTGGCTTCACATTTGATCACTTCAACATCTACTATATCTTTATCCTTAATTTGAAATACTATAGCTTCGAATTTGATCTTAAATAAAATAAATTGATACCACTACTCTAACAGTTCCATCCTCTTCAATTAATGCATCTATTTATTCATCTTAAAATTAATTGCAATTCAAGCATTTAGTTATACAAATGATATAACCAACATCTTCGAAGTACTTGCCTTCTAATTTCTATACAATTTACTCTAAAATGAACTTTTAATCTTTCAATTGATCTAAATAATTTGGCTCTATTGACAATTTAGTTTTGAGTCCTTTTATCACATAAAACATTTTTATTATTAATTATTTTATAAATTAACAAAAAATTTAGTATATTTTTATTTAAAACTTCAATCATCTCTTTGCAGTCTAAGGTCTTTACTATTAAGAAGGTTATTTTAAAGCCATATTTACAACATATGTAACGGCTTTTTATAATGTATAGTTTGAAGCCTTTCTTTTCAAAAGCTGATTATTATTAATTCAATATATACTTTTTCTGAAATCTATTCTATTGTCTCTAAGAAATTCAAGAAATTCAAATCTGGTTATAATGATTTTAACTAGATTTTTTTGTAAATCAAATCATAATCAGATTTTATTAGTAATTCATTAATTAATTAAGGATTGTTAGCTAATCTACAAAATCTCATTTAATTCAAATTACCATATCTTAAACCACAAAGATTACTATAAAGATCTACCAATTTATAGAACTAAATAATTAAAATATCTTAAATTAAATTACCAAATCTAAATTTTCAATAGGTGCTTATCCATCAATAATCATTTTATAACTATTGCAATACTTACCCTTTCCAATTTATTCAATTTATTCTTATGGTGTTTTAACAGCAATAATAAATGCATCTTCAATGACTTTTGTTTTAACATAAGCATCTAATGAACTAGTCTCTACTCTTTTACTTCCATTTTAATTTTATACAACTTAAGTAATTTCTAAACTAGGATTAGCATTAATTTCAATAATCCAAGGTTTTAAATCTCTATCAATTAAAATATCAAAGCCAATGACGTGAAAACAATTAGCCTTTTCCCATTTATCTTAATAAACTTCTCTAGTAGAATTTAACTATAATAATAAATTTATATATTTACTAAGAAAGGTGCTATTCCAAACAAGAATCTTACAATAGTTTATTCAATTCTCAATTTTAACTTAGGAACATCAATTCCCATCTTCATCAAGGTTTTTTTGGCTGATGTATAAGTTCTTTTTGTTCCAAGATTAATTTTCTGGAAATCTGGAGGATGAATAATATAATTTTAACTATCTATGGATATACTATTTTTGTCTTTTACTTTTATTTAAAGAATAATTTGTAAGATGCATATAAACATTAGAGAGATTACTTGATGTTATATCTTAATAATTTTCTGTACATAGTCTTGCTAAACCTTCTTCATTTATGTAAGCAATTAAGGGTTTGAGTGAAGTAATTAATACATACAATCTAAAATCAAATTTCTTATTATCTAATAATAAAGGATTACTTATGTACTCTTGAATAATATAGTTTCTTAATATAGATATATAAATACTTCTTTATATAAGAGATATCCTTAATTCCATTATTGAATAAATCTTCTATTTAACTAACAATAAAGATGCCTTAACCTTAAGTTCCTTTATCAGGTTTAGCAATATAAGAAATGCCATCTTTTTTTTCAAAATCCTCAATAAATTCATGTAAATCTTCAGGCATGGTATATGTTTTTGGATAAAAATTATAAATAGATGGAAAATATCTAATTTAATATTACACATATTATACTATCTCATTTTAGCCATGATTGACGTAGTTTCCTTTTTTGTAGAGATAAGTTTAGCTCCTGGAATTCTACTGATACATAAATTCATGAAGACCATTGCAAAATCATAGGTAAATTATTTGGCTTATTGAACATTATCAGGACCACACCATAAAATATCTCCATCAAAATTATGAGCTTTTTTCCATTCATTTTTATCCATGATTTTACGTATAATTGGTAATTCTTATACCTAAACAGAAAGATTAATTGATAAAGGTATTGATTTTGGATCCACCTTAATTTATTATCTTTTTTATGTTTTCTTTTATAGCAACATTTAAAATATTAGATTTAATGGTTTATTTGCAGGTTTTTCTTCAAAACTCTTTACTCTTAATTATCTTTGAGAGTTATTTAGAATTTCAGTCTCTGTATTCTCATCTTACTTATCTTATTTATCTTATTATGTAAATTGTTAAAAGTCTGAATTCAAAAATTACAACATTTGATTTTCCAACATATTTTAATAATAATGAAATTAGTTAATATTTATTAGTCAATTAGATCTAAATCAGATAATAGAAGATAAATTAGTAGTGAATAAACTAAAACTTATCATAAATATAAATTGCCCTAATTGATGGATAAATAAATCTCTTAAAAATCATTTAAAAGACGACTTCCATTATAATAATCCAAATCAAAGAAAATTTTGAACTCTAAATTAGAAATCTAATTATATTATGGTTCAATGTCTAAGGCTGGATTTGATGGATTTTGTGAAAAAACAAATTAAGATAGATAATTTGCTGAAATTATTGATGATGAATAAGGTTTCTTTGCTGTAATGGATGGACATGGAACTGATGGTGATAAAATAAGTACATTTGTTAGAGACTATTTTTAATGTATAGATAATATATCATTAATTTAGAATATTTAATCAAGGATTTTAAAACAATTGATTTTGTTAAACTTTTTAAAAATGCTCATTCTAATGTTGCTTCTCATTCTCATTTTGATTCACTTATGTCTGGTACAACTGCTACTTTAATTATTATTAGAGATTAAATAATTAATTGTGCTTGGGTTGGTGATTCTAGAGCTATATTATGTTCTAAATAATAAGATAAATTAATTACAACTGAATTATCTGTGGATCATAAACCAAATTTATTGAAAGAGAAGAGAAGAATTGAAAATTAAGGTGGATCTGTTAATACTTACAAACTATAGAATGGATAATCTGTTGGACCATCTAGAGTTTATATTAAAGGAGCTTCATTCCCTGGTTTGGCTATGTCAAGAAGTATTGGAGATTAAATAGCTGAATAGGTTGGAGTCTCACATATTCCTGGTATTGTATATTGTTATTTAAGATATCAAATAGCATTAAATTACTAAGGACGATTTATTTATAATTCTTGGTTCTGATGGATTATGGGAATTCTTAGATAATAATTAAGTATTAAAAATATCATATAGATAGCAGAAATAACACAAGATTATTTCTTGAATAATGATCCATAAGGTGCTTGTCAAAAATTAATTTAAGAATCTAAGACTTAATGGAAAAGATTTAGTGAAGGAGTTGATGATATCACTGTTATTGTCATATTCTTAAAGAATTCAAACTCATGATATATATTTTGCTATTCTTAAAATAAATTTATTCTATATATTTTAGAATGATCTTAAATAAACAATCATATTATGTCAATTTTCTAAGAATTTATATTAATTATATTATATAAATGATTAAATTTGCACTTCCACAAATAATGAATGCTTTATTCTCTATTTTATGCATTGCTTACTTATAACTTAGAGGATAAATAGTAAATTTGCTTATTCCTTAAATAATATTTTTAGCTTTCGGAATGGCATTTAGTTTTGCTGCAATAAGAAAAACAGCCAAAAATGTTTTATGTAACTATTTTACTAATTAAAACTTTAATAGAAATTGATCATTCACCAATGTTTTTTACAATTTTATTGCTTCTCTAATTTGCAAGTTTATTGTATTTAAGTAAAGAGAATTTATCTGAAAATCTAATTTGTTTATTATTTGGAAACATGCTTTCGCTTTAGAAATTAAAATCAAATGAAAAAAATGAAAGAAGACAATTTCTCAATATCAAAATAATGCTTCAAGCTTTATCATTATTAATCATATTCATAGTTATTGTTTTATTTAAAAATATATCTAATAACTTAGAATATTTAATTATCGCTTCTATCCTAATTATTATAGTTTGTTTATATGAATTTCTCTAAAATAATTATAAGTATTAAGCTTCATAAACTGAATAAACTTAAGTAATAGTCCCAAGAAGATAAAGTGTTTTAAATTAAGCATAGATTCCTTTATAAAATGCATAAGGTATATTGGATAAATTTAATGATTAATAATTTTTTATTATTTCCTACCGTAATAATGATATAGTTGTTGAAAAGATGAGTTAATTTTTAATTTAATAACTAAAAGAGAAATGTTTATCAATTGAAGAATATATGAAAAAGATCCAATTATTCTAGATTTCATATGAAAGTGAACACATTTTAACTAACAATATGCTTGAGATAAAAAATGCCAATCTTTATTCATTCATAAGAGATTAAATAATGGAAGAAAAACAAAGCGCTGTAATGTAAAGGAGAAAATCTCAAGGTAATATAAACGATGATTAATAACAACAAAAATTAATATCTCCATAGAATGAATAGAGATAAAGATTATAATCAATCTAAAGAAATGATGGAAATTTATAGAAGTGTAATACCTTAAATTTAAATAATAGTTCTTTATAAGTAACAATATATATTATTTAAGTATATAGATAAAGAGTTTTTATCTGCATCTGTTATGAGATAATTTGATATTTTCTTCGCAAAACCTCAAGATAACAACAGCTAATAAATGGCAAACAAAAAATAACAATTATATGGAATAATTTAAAATGAAAAATCAATCTATAAGAAAATGCAAATTAGTAGTTGGAATTAAGGTTTAATCATTGAAATTGAAGATGATTCAATAGAAAATATAAAAATTCAAATGAATAATATACAAAATGGTTACAAATAAGAAGTCACCCAAAAAGAGTCATAAAAATTGTCTTCAATGTTGAATGATTTTTCATAAAAATTTCGCAAAATGTACAATGGTTAAAATAAAGAGGATATTTTATTATGTTAAGCATAATCATAACTATATATTTTAGAATTGGGAATTAATAATTTCATTTATTTTTTGTCTGATGGAATGCCTTTTCCAAAACAAGACTCAGTTAATGTTATTTCATTTTTAAAATCTATCAAGGCCAAATTTATTTAAGATACTACTGTACTTGAAAAAATGATCGAAATAAATATTTCAGATGATTTGAATAATAAAATGATTACAACCGATATTAGATATCTTAAATAAATTATTGTCAATTTATTAATTAATAGTATCAAAGCATATCGAAAGCCAGATATATCAAATGCAATTTATATACATGTAGGTCAAACTCTTAATGATGAATTTAAATTTGAAATAAGAGATAAAGCTAGTGGATTTGCTTAGCCACTAGATTTCAAAAGTAAATAATTTTAAATATTAATAGGAGTGCGTGAAGGAAAATTGGGAATATTTATTGTTTAAAAGTTGTTACCATACATTTCCAAAAATCCATAATTATCTATTAAGACACTACATTTTGAAAATTCATAAGTAGGAACTTCCATAAGTTTTGTACTTCCAAGATAATTAAATCTTTTCACTAATTCATTACATAATTCATCAAACAATATCCTTTAATAAGAGAGTTATAAATTAGCTTAAATTATGTAATCTTAACTAATAGCTTAATTATAGGATTATATTTGATAAATATTTAATAATGATTTTATTTTTCAATCTTTTAAATATATATATAATAATTATTTATTCTTATTCTAATAATCTCATAATATATTTGAAAAACTTATTATATAAGTATTTATTAAAACCCACTTTAGTTGGATTGGAATGATTTCCAATAAACAATTGAAATTGATTTTAGAATGATAATAAAGTGTATTAAAATTCTTACTTCAACTCTTCTTATTATGGAAATTATTTAAAAAAAAGTACGAATAATATTTGTATCCATTCTAAATACTTCGGGGTCAGATTAATTTCTATTAAAGATATTCTATTATTAATTGATAATAGAGTATATGCATTATAAAAAACATGTTAAATTTATAAAAGAGAATAAATTTATAGATAATATTGAATATCATGATTTAAATTAAAAGGAGGGAGATTAATTATATAGAGAAGAGATGTTTTTAGTACTTAAAGAGGATAGATTTGATAATGTGAAAAGAATAATTCATAAAGGAGATAGAATAGTGAAAGATAGGTTTAACTTTTAGATTAAACAATAAGGTAATAAAAAAGGATGAAAGATTTTAACTTGGAATCAAATTAGAAATTGATAATTTCAATAAGATGATGACTCTAATTTTGAAGTAGAGCATTTTATTAAAGAATCATTTGATAATATTTAATATTAAATTCTAATAAATTTTTCTTTTATTTTATAAATTTCACATCATTTGACTTAGATGAACATCTGCAGCTTTTAATGGTTACAATCCTAATAGTTATTTATATGCAACTAATTAGTTTGGTAATTCAGCTAAAACTTCTTTTGCTAATTCCCCTTATTATTTAAAACCTTTAAATGGTACAAATTATACTAAATCTCTTACACATTAACCTTTTAATGGACCACTATCTCCATCAAGTGTTTTCATTTGTTAAAATTTTTCATCTCCAACACCAATGATAATTATTGATAGAGGAATCTTAGCTGCTCCTTTGATTAATTAAATAGTTTAATTCATATCATGAATTTCTCCATCTGTTAATATCATTAGAACTGTATAAATATTATTGTTAATATTTTATTAAGCTGTTTAACACGCATATTAAATTATTGGAGCGAAATATGTTGGTCCTGATAAAGTTACATGCTATAAAGCACCACTGTATTAAGCCATAATTCCTTCTAATCCAAAAACTTCTGGCTATTAGAAACTACCTGTCAAAGGAAAACTTATAATCAAATTAAACACTAATACCAATGATCTGCTTCATTCTTTTAATAATTTGGAAAATGAGGAACTCCTCCAAATCCATACATAGGTATTTTCTTATCAAAATCATAATTTAATAATATTTCTGACACTTAATAAAGTGCAGATTAATATTAATTCATTTAATTTGGATTATTATAATGTAAAGAATTTGGAGATTTTGGATCTCCATTAGAACCTGTAAAATCAACAGCTATCATTAGATTAATTTATTCTCCTCCTTTTATATAATCAATGAATGTTGGTTTAACAAATAAGTTATATTAAGTTAATTACAAAAATCCATGATTTGTCTAAATATTATTATTTAATATATATTACTCCTTTCTTAGAAAGTGATATGAATTCTCTTTTTAGTTCATTTTCAATTTAATGAATTGTAAATAAAGTTTCACCTATAAATTAATGTTTTCCATCTGTTTAGTTATCATAACATTCTACTTTTATTTACTATTATGTATGTCCTGAATTTAATTTAGCCATTGAGATTTCAAATGGTTTCCAATGAGGGTTTTCATTATTTTTACAAAATTCAGTTTCATGAACAAATAACCAATCATTTCCTTATTGTTTATAAAATCTCAAGAATGGATCTGAATTTCCAAACCAACCATCTACATTCTTGATTTTTTTTCCTTACCATTACCAGAATATAAATCTATTGTCATTTTTCAATTTATCACTTTTAACTAATAAAGTTCCTGATGCTTTATTCTTTAATTTTAATTATCCAGTATAAACTTAATTTCTAGATCCCATAATCTCTCCTACAGTGGTCTAAAAAATATATAGGAGATAACAAGATACATTAACAACACCAATTAAATCATCTTTGTCAATACTTCCATCATCATTATCCCAAACTTCAAATCTAAGTTCTTATTTGATTTCAAATATGAAATCCATTTATATTGTTGTCTAATATAATATTGAAATACTTTCCAATCAGGATTAAGATTATTTTTAAGTACTTCTGTTTAACCAATGTATTTTTCAACTCCATTAAAATCTCTTAGATAAACTTTGCATTTAGGATCACTATCAGAAATGATATCTTTATTAGCAAGTTTACGTGCCGAGATGTAAAGTTCAATCTTTTCTCTATCTGCAGGTTGATACATGATATTGATTTAATATACAAAATTAAATGTTTTTATCAGTGAGTGGTTCTGGATTTCATATGAATTATCGTTAAGAAGTTAGACTCCCAAAATTACAAGGTCATAAAGTACAGGCTTACAGCATGCCTAAATATAGACAATTAAACAGTCCTGAAGAGAAACCGATATCACCTGATAGGTTTCTTAAGTACCTGAATAATAAAGTTCAATCTCAAGCAGGAGTTTATAGAAACCCTGCAGCTGTTTAATCTTCAATGATTTTGATTGCAAAACAAATGAAGTTCTCTTCTGATCAACATACTCATAGACAGAAAGAGAAATCAATAAAAATAATTGAGTAATCTAATGAATATAAATACAATTTGGGTTTAGGAAACAATCATGAATTAGTATAAAGAATTATGGACACTAGAGTTGATTGGTAGTAAACTAAGGATAACTCATCTATGTTTGTTCATTTTAGATGGTAATAATGGAATAGAGGTTACAAATATGATAGATTGATCATGAATAATCAATATAAATAGATGGTTAATCATTTTGAAAATCATCCAGAATTAAGCAATAAATAATATTTATTTAGAAATCTCTGTTCATATTGTGAAGTATTATTATTATTATTTATCCATTCTTAGCAAAATAAATTAAGTGTCTATGATTCTGTCCCTATTACATTTGTTTTAGATTTTAAAGATGACTCTGTTGATTAATAATTTACACAATTTGTTAAATTCTTTGATAAATATGCTCCTAAAAAAATTGACTAAATGGCCAAAAAATTAGTAGAATACAAAAAAAAATTAAAAGTAATATTTCATAATATAACAGATTCCAGTTTAACCTATGAATGATAAAAAAATATAACCTATTCCTAATAAAATACCTAAAACCTAAAATGGTAATCAATATTTATGGTTATTGAAACCAACATTTTTAAATAGAGGACAAGGAATACATGTTGTTAATGATTTAGATACTATCATATCACTTATATCTGAATATTAAGAAGGACATTAAACTATGGAGGATGAAGATGCTAAAAATAATAAAAAAAATAATAATATTAAAGCTAACTCCTTTGTAATACAAAAATACATAGAATAACCATTTCTCATTAATCAAAGAAAATTTGATATCAGAGTCTGGGTATTAGTTACTTAGGATCTTCATTGCTATTTTTTTAAAGAAGGTTATATACGTACATCTTGCGAAAATTATACTACTGATGATGTAAGTAATCAATTTATTCATTTAACTAACAATGCCATTCAAAAGTATTCAGATAAATATGGAGAATTTGAAGATGGCAATTAATTATCTTTTGATGATTTCTAAAATTATCTCAATCAATAAGGCTTTAATATTGATTTTTAATAAAATAATGTAACTAAAATGAAATAGCTTGTATGGATGTCAATGCAATCTGTTAAAAGAAAACTCAATCTTCATTAAAGAAAGTTTTGTATGGAAATTTTTGGATATGATTTCATAATTGATCAAGATTTTAAAACTTGGTTAATAGAAATTAATACTAATCCATGTATTGAGGAATCAAGTGGAATTTTAAGAATGTTACTACCACGTATGTTGGGTAATTAGATATAATAAAGTAGATGATGCCTTTAAATTAACAATAGATGTGATATTTCCCCCAAAATAGAAATTAGAAATAGTAGAATCAACATTTCCAGTTAATAAATATTCAAATACTGAATCCTTATGGTATTGATTAGATTAATAAATAGGGAATCAATTGGAAATCTTGAATCACCAAAACCAGCTGCTAAATAGAGTGCTTTTGTATTACCTAACTAGTTATCTTAACAAATTCAACAGTTTCAGACTGTCATACCAATATACTAAGGAGATCTATGAATTATCAATTTATTTATTTTCTGAATCTTAAATTAAAAAATTATTGATAAAATAATAAAAATATCTATATATAAAATTAATAGCTTCAAATGGGATAGATCTGTAAATTACCTTAATTATCTTAATCAAGTTTGGATGAGGATTTGAATGAGAATAAATCTAAAGGTTAAAATCAAAAACAATAAGAGTAAATTATAAGTGACAATCAGCTCAATAATACACCGAATTAATACTCATTATAATTATCTTGTACTCCAGAATTAGTCAATCCATAATTTGGATAAAAATTACATTCTCTTCAAGATAGTTTTTATACACCAGAGTTTTTGGGAATAAGTTAACCATTTTAATAATAAGTGAATATATATTAATAATAATTTTGAACTATCTAATTTTTCATAAAAGATGAAGGTAAATAAAATGTTATGAATTAAGGAAAGTAACGTTAATCATCTGTACATACTGAACAATAGAATAGAAGATCTTACAGAAGATCTGCATCAGCTGTTTAATCAGGAAGAAAAATCTCACATAGTGCCATTACATTAGGTGACAATTAAATTCAAATTACAATGATCAATAACATTACTTAATGTTTAGCCAAAAAAGTACTTTTTTCTATTCTAAAATTTAGAAAATTTATGTTGAAATATACTCAGGTCCTTAATAAAATGATCGCAATCAATCAGATTGTGAAGATGAGATACTTTATGCCTTAGGGGCTACAATTGTAAAAAAATTAAGTAAACATACTCATTATCTAATTTGGCAATGTAAATTCGAATTCAAATTTTAGATGGTTTTTTAAGCACATTAGAGAAAGCTAAGGAATGGAATATTAAGATAGTTAATCCTATGTGGGTCAATGAGTAAATATATAATTTATTTTAGATGTCTTACAAAAAAGAGGGAAGTTGATGCTTCAAATTTTCCAATCATTACATTAACACCTTAAGAAATGTAAGAATTACTCAAAAAAGATGTATTATTATATTCTTAAATAGAAAGTTCATTTAAAGAAAGGAAAATAATCTAATCAATAAATTTTAGATGAAGAAGAAGAAGATATCAATGAATTTAAAACAAGAAACATTATTAATTAATTTAAGAGTCAACTTTAATTAATACCTAAAGTTATCAATAAATCTTATGTGTCTATCTCAAATTTTTAACAACCATCTAAAAGTATCCGAGGTTTAGCAAAATAATCAGATATCATTCATGAAGAACTTGATACAGAATAATTAGAAGTATCATAAAAAATTAATTCTTAATTAATATCTAAGAAAAGTTCTAAAGCTAAATAATCAAAACCTCAATAAATTGACTAAAAATTTACTCTAGCTTTACATAAATCTTGTGATGGTAATATATTGAATTTATTTGAATCGATTAATCTAAAGTAAATTTAATTAATAATTAAGCTATTAGTATCAACTTGTTTTAGAAGAGGATATTAAAATTAAGTGTGATATACTTATTATCAATGAAGATAAACTTATTTATGATTTGATTTTCTGTTGTTGTTGCTTAAATAAGTAGACAAAAATTGTTTCTTAAAAATGGATTATTCAATAACAACTTAATCCATAAAAAGTCATATCTTTTAGTCAGTATCTTTTGACCTATAACATGCAAAAAAGTATTAATTAAAAGTTCACAATAGAAATATTGTTTCCCTATAATTTTTATGTTCATTTTTCCAAACCCAAAACTTCCTAACAAAAGACAATTCATTAAAATCTTAGGTAAGGATTAGAATAATTAATTTAAAATTTTGGTGGAAAGGTAAAATATAAATTTCAAATTAAAATAGATTACCTAGAAAGAATTTTGTGATATAATGATTGTAATGAAAATCATGTTTAAGACCACCGCATAAGCTATACTCAATTCAAATCCTAATATTAAAATCATTCATGCTGAATGGTTATACAAGTCAATTTAATAAGGCTGTTTGATTGATTTAAATGAATATATAATTTAATAATGATTTTTATGTCACAATTTTTTAATTTTTAAATACATCATCAAAAATTTTAGGCAAAAGCTTTCACTTATTCTTTAAATACTCAAAAAGTGTCCAATCATATATTATAAAATAAATTTTTTATCTATATTGTGGAGAACATTATTTTTTGGATTCTTGAACTATTATTTTCAACAATAATAATAAATTTAATTTTTTTTTTGAATAATAGCCTCTCTCTCAAATTTAAATAATTTAAAGTCTCTTGTTATATTTCTTGGAATTTTTTATTTAGCATAAGTTTAAAATATTTTTTTTATACCGTATTAAATTATTATGATTTTAAAAAATGCCATCATTAAGAGAAAATAATATATGAATTTTTTTAAAATTTACAAGCATAAATACTTTATTTTCCATTTACTTAAGTTTATTAAATTTATGATTCCTATTCAAGAAGCATTAAAATTTAATTCATTTTAAAAATTCTCAATAAATTTATTCTTATTCTTTTTTAAAAAATTTTATTTAAGCTTATTGTATAAATTCGTATAACTCTTTAAGTAACTTTTCTGTAGTTTATAAAATTAAGCCCATTTTTGTAAATTTATTAATCTAAACTTTTAATAGAATCTAAAATGGCTTTATTACTAATAAATATTTCAAGCTCTTATGCTAGTTCTTCTAATATGAACTGATTTTTTTCAATTATTCTTCAACCAATTTCAATCTCTATTTTTCTATATTTAAGTAATTCTTAAATCTTTATTCACATAAAATATATTAGTATGTATTGATTCTTTCTTATATAATGTCCATCTTATCATTTCTTTAAGTTTTACTCAATAGGGATTAACATATTTCTCCATTTATTGATTTAAATTCTGATCTTTGAGTTTATTGGGTTTGGGTATTCAGTCCAAAATAACAATTTTTCTAGGCTATATTACATCTTTTAACCACTCTTTCTGATAGAGGAATATCATTAGTTAATATCAAAAAATATTTAATGTTGTTGCGAAAACTTTTTAGAATTATTTTTTTATGATCCTTAACAACTATATTATTTTTATGGAGAATTGAGAAAGAGTGTAATTGCTTTTTATCCTTTTTTATTAATTATCAGAATTCTATTATCATTATTATTGCTTTGTTAAACTTTTTCATCATACTCCTTTAGATGTCTTCCAATTTCTTTCTTAAAAAGATAAAATATGCATAAATACATCTAGTAAATTAATAAAAACTTTGTCGTGCAATATTCACTTTTTTTATCTTGAAAATATATTATATAAGTATTTAATAAAAATAATTTGACATTAAATAGTTATAAATTGTTATCCCTATTAAATGAAAATTATTAGTTAAGTGATTCTAAAGAATTTTTGATTAAAGATAACTTTAAGGTAATTTTCTATATTATATAATTACTTTTCAAAATTGTAATTTTAAATATTTTTTAATTTTAATTCAACCTCTTTTGATAAATTTCTATAATTTTAAACCTTATTTATCAGAGCTGGATTGGGAAAGGAGTGAAAGTATAATATATTGAGAAAGTTAAAAAGTATTGAAAAATTAGAATCTCAATTATTTAATATATTTAATTAGCTTCTTAATAATATGATTGTACACCTCCCCAAGCATCTCTGCATCTAACTAATTGATGGTATCAATCAGGAAGGCCAGATTCACATATGATCATAAGCAATAATTACAAATGTTCCAGTTAATTATAAGATGCTTAAAAGGTAATGATTTTTTATATTAACAAGACTTTTGTCTGGTGTATTATTAATAAGAGTAATGTACATATTTTTATTATTCAGGTCTTTCTTTCTAAAACAAGTATTTAATAATACTATAGCAAAGTTTCTTTTTTCCATCCAACCTATATAGCTTTCATTTCTAATCCTTGAAGTTCTTTTTTCTTTTATTTTAGTTCTAGTTCTTTGCACTTAATGTTTGATTACAATATCTTGAGAATTTCTCTTTTTTCCCATTTTATATTGTTAATTCTTTTTGATTTCTCCTAAAGAACCTGAACTATTTTGGTTGACCCAAAGAGGTGTCAAGCCTTTTTAATAATCAAAATAATTTAAAAAATTGATACTCAAAGTCTTCTTCTGTTAGCTAGATAGTTTCAAGCTAATCACTTAGATTTTAAAAAATCTCATGTTTCCCACCTGTTTATGAATAAAATATCTAAATTAACCTTTGCTTATCTGGTAGGTTTTTTCTTTTAGAAAACCTGAATTAGATTTATTGCATATTTAGGGCATTTTAGATTAGATAAAACAACTCTCTTTTAGATACCTTTTTCAAAAGCGTACCCTGTTTTATTAAGTCCTTTTTAACCTAAAAACACTTTCCTATTGTTAACTAAAATAAATATTAGCTAGTTATGCATGAGTTAATCTAACACTTAGAAATTGCTAAATCTTTATATAGGTTTGATGTTTAGCTGCAAATTTAGTATTGGTGGTAGAGATGATAAATTATCAAAAATGAACAAATTGTTATTCTTCATTTAAGATGGAAATAATCTCATGTAGATTGGATAAATAGTTGCTGTCTTTAGAAGAATAACATTATTGGAATATTAAATTGTTGTCTAAAGAATTCAAATATTAATTTCCTAATTAATCTTGCCTGATTTAGCACATTTAAAGCTTATGATAAAGAATTTAATGAGATGAATATAAAGGAAGATAGATGATAAATTTGAACCTCCCAATTAAAAGCTAAAAAATTTTTATTGATGAAAGGCTATCAAATAGACCTAAGCCTTTTGATTGGCCCAAATAATTAATATCAATTTTCTTACAAACGGACATTATTAAATAAATCAAATTAAAATAAAATTTTATTGACCCAAGTATCTTCTGTATTAATGACTCAATTTTTTAATATATTTATTTGTTTGTATAAAAGAAGTTAAAATTGGTCAATTTTACAGAATCAATAATAAATAAATTTTACAAACTTAATGAAAATAAAAGTAATTGTCATAGTCTCTTGAACAGTGAAATAAAAGCGAATGAGCTTTAATTTTAAGGGGTAGGATTATGCATCTTTTTAAATTTAGTAATCTTCTAAAAAAATTGTCCCAAAAAAAAGGTCACCCATCAAACTTTTTTTACTTTTGAACAGATTATTCAAAAAATATTAGAGAATTATTAGAATAGCTATTTCTAATAAAAAAATAGTTTGACTGTATCTGGTATTTGATAGAATACCAGATAATCAATTTAAATATTTTATTTTAAGAAAAATAATCAATTCTGATTTTGTATTTTTGAAGTTAAAAACATATAATCTTATGAAAGGTTTGTTTTCTTGAATTAAAATTTAAGATAAAATTCATTGGCCAAACTCATATTTAGTGAATAAAATAATAATTATTATTATAATATAATAATAATAAATTAAAAATAGTTAATATATTATAAATGTGGTATAATTGCATTTGATATTATAAGTCATTATTTAACATTTCTTTCTCCAAAAATTGCACTTCCAACTCTTATATAATCAGCTCCATATTTAATTGCTTCCAAATAGTCTCCACTCATCCCCATACTTAACTTTAAAGGTTCAAGATTAAATTCCTTCTCAAAATTTTTTGCCAAATCAGATAATTGTTGAAAAATCTCTATGTTTCCAATAGGTCCAATAGTCATTAAACCAATTAATTTTATATATTTAAACTTAGTAATTATTTCTTAAATTATAAGTTTTGCTTCATCAATCTCAGCTCCAGTTTTACTCTCCTCTTCGCTTAATTTAATTTAAACAAAGATATTTATATTTCTTCCAAGCTTTTAACAATGCTTTTCTATTTTTTCAGCCAATTTGAGGCTATCTACAGATTGAATAAATTCAAGATTTTGAATCTTCATTAAAGTTGAAACTTTATTTGTTTAAAGATGACCAATGAAATGCCAAGAAATATCATTAGGCAATAAAGGAGCCTTTTCAATTACTTCATTAACATAATTTTCCCCAAAATGTCTTTATCCTCCTTCATATGCCTCTTTAATTAAATCAGCAGATTTTGTTTTTGAAACAGCCACTAATGTAACTTATTTATTCTAAGTTTCTGAAGCCTTAATAATCGTCTATAAAACTTTCTGTAAATTTTATTGTAATAAAGTTTACATAATTAATTTATGTAATTAAATTATTCTTTTTAATCAATATGTACTGATAATTGCATTTATAATTAAACAAAACTTATTATTAAAATTATAGAAATCAATCAAATAATCAAAAAGCTAAAGTGATAGTAAAATTAAATTAATAAATGATATAAAGAAGATTAAAATAGCATTTTTATATAGAGATTGCTTCCTTTTGATCCTATTGAAGTTTCAATAGAAATAACATTCAATTTTTAATTTATAAATGAGAAGCTAATTAGTCTCGATCATTTGATATAAAAATAATGCAGTTAATGAGATTTTAGTTTAAAATTAGATAATAAATTATATTATACTTTAATGACTGATTAAAACATTCCAATTTATAGAAGGGGAGTTGAGGAAGTTGTGAAAAAATCAGTAGATGAATATGGAAAGTAGAAATGGGATATTGAACATAAAATCTTTGATAAAGTAAGTTTACAATAATTAATTAGTAAGAACGTGAGGATGAAGAATATGATAAGAATAACCCTAGATATACAAAATCATTATAAGCTCGTACTGACTCTGTGGGCATTGATGAATAAATTGGAAAAAAGAGGAATGTAGTCAAAGAGGGATTAAAAAAAGATTAAAGCGGTTTTTATTGTGAATTATGTGATGAATTGGCTACAGATAGTTTATCATGGTTAGATCATTTAAATTCTATAATGCACAATCGATTACTTGGAATGAATATGAAAGTTGATAAAGTGAAAGCTGTGGATGTAAAGGAAAAATTATAATAAATTAAAGAGTCAACTACTAAAAGTTAAACTCAAGTATAAGAAAAACCTAAATCAATAGAAGAAATTAGAAAATAGTTAGAAGAATAATTGTAAAAGAAAAAAGAAAAGAAATTAAAAAAATAATAGAGCAAATAGTAGGACACTATGAAAATGAATGATTAATAAGAAATAGATGTAGATGATTTAAAATTAAAGTAATTTTTAAAAAAATGAATACGATCATTATATTTAATATAATATTCATTCATCTGATTTATCAATCTCTAATTTAAACATGTTATCCTTTACATGTTCTGCACATGTATCTAGCTTATAAAATATAATACATAAACAATCTTCAAAATTCTTCAATCTTTTTCCTCTTAAAAAATTTTCAAATAATTGACATCGCTTTCCACAAATAACAGCATAATCGGTCACTGATTTGAATTCACTAGGAATATTCATAATAATATTAATATCTAATAAAATAATATTAAGAAAATATATCAGAATTAAAATTCATCTCACTTAATTGCTAATTATTTATAATAATCTTAATAAAATAGAAATAAAAACTTTTAAATTAGAAGTAGAATAATTCTTTTAACTAAAAAATATAAGATCTTAATCTAATTATTGACATTCACGTTATTATTGAATTTAAGGTAAAAAGTTATCATAAACAATATTCATATTTTATTTCATAAAAATAAAAACAATTTAATTCTATAAAAATCAGTTTTTTTGATTTTTAAAGTAGTTAAGTTATCATTTATAGGTTTTTAATCAATGATATTTTTCAATTCTTTCTATTCCTTATATAAAATTCAAAGATGTAAAATTAATTATTTTAATATTTTTATATTAATGTTCATTCATCTAATCTATGCAGTATTAAACATACATATAATACTCACTGATTATTTTGATGTTAGCATGCAGTCTCAATTTTTTCACTTGCTCATATGGGCTACCATAAGTGTTTAGATTTACAAATATGCCTTAATATGGGTTTTATAAAATTAAGAATAAGTAAAAACAAAAATAAATTTGAATAGGCTGAATCTGTGTTTATAAAGAATATGTAAAAGTTGACTTCATTAAGCAAATTACCAGAGACTTTTCTTAAGCAATATATTATGCCAACATTAATTGATGCAATTACATTAAAGAATATAGTAAGATGATTGATAAATACTTTAGCAACATACAATTGCATTCTTTATCGCATTAAATTTAGGTATTTCCTATTTGACATTGTTCCTGACAAACAAGGCAGTAAGAAGCATTTCTTTACATCTATTATATGGATTATATTATCATTATAATAAAAACGAATAGTAATATCAATTTTGGATGTAAAGAAGTAAAAAAATCAGTTTAGAAAAATGGGAAGCTTTAAAAAACAAGATTTAAAAATAAAAAATCTGATGTTTGGTTTCATTATATATATATATATACAGAATAGCATTTTTATTAAAAATCTGTTTATTCTTATTTATAATGAACATATTTTAATGCTGTTACTAAAAAAGGTAGAACTGATTTATCTGATATAATTTTTATCAGCTCCTTTTTACAATAAAATTACATTTTTATAAAAATATTGGAAATTTGAAGAATTCTTTATTTATTTTCCATAAAATTTTATATAAATAGATTAACTCTACATTAATTTTTTTTTATTTTGCATTGACATTCTCAATAACTTTTACATATTCACATAAATTATATTATGAATTAAAATAATAATTCATTAAAGTACCAAGATAATGTTAAATCTCTGGATGAAGATAAAGAATCATACTTTTGTAACAGTAACTTGTTGAATTTTTAAAATATTGATCCATGTAATGATTCAAATAATTTTGCTTCATTCTATGCATTAAATAGACTTAGTAATCGTTTAGAAAGTACTTCTAAAAAATATTAGAAGACCAAACTTCCTATACTTAAAACTATTAATCAGTGAGACTAATGTAAAAGTATAAAAAATAAAAAATTGTAAGAACTATTTTTTTTTACACATACTTAATAATTACAATCTTTTAGCGGCCTTCATGGTGTAATTTTGTGGATTATTAAGTATAAAATATACTATTTTAGGAATATTGTAGTGTTTATGATGGTTAAAAGATACCTATTATGGTTGATTTTTATCTTCCTATAAATTTATATTATTGTGTTGAAATACTGATCGTTTTATATCTTTGCTTGAGTAAGGTAATTAAATGATTAATTCTAAGATTTTTAAAGCAATAATCATTGGATAATTAAATAATAAGAGAATAGCTATAGTTTTATTTATTATAATGTTTTTAATCATAATCAATGATATTACAGTGATGATACTAGAAAATAACATTTCAATTAATATAAGTTTATTAATGAAACCGATATTAATAGTTCTTTGGAAGTATCTAAAAATCATTATAGAAATAGACAAACTTTACGCTCTACAATATTTCATTATTGCTCAATAATTAATAAAGGAAAAGAAATTTATTATTTGATGATTTTTTCTTTAATTTTTTTTGCTGGATTAGGATCTGCAATATTTTAAGAGAATGATTAAAATAATTCCAGTACAATATGTTAAATAGATTAACCTCCCTTTTCATAACCAGAACAATGTATAATAATCATTCTTTTTGTACTTTAAACTACAGTAAATTCTCCTGATATTTATTTACCATATTATGGAGAATCAAGGATTTATGTAGTATATTTTATTTTATTTTAATTCATAAATACCACATTAATCATAAACTTAATTTTAGCTTTCTTTTATTCCTCCTATAAAGATCTTATGGAAAAAGAAACTAAATAAATTTTATCCAAGTACAATCATAGATTTAGCCTTTAAACATAAAAATTTTTTCGTAAAAGAACTGAATCTGATATTACAAGATTAGCAAACATGCTTTCACTTGACAATGTAATATCAAGATAAATTTACTAAATTTTAGATCATAAGTTATATGAAATTTTTATTGAAATATTATCTTTAGTATCATTTATAATGATATTTCTCAAATTCTCAAAATAGAAATTATATATTTTGCTAGTTTGCAATTCTATAATGTTTACAGAATGTCTTTTACTTTTATATTTTACTGGTAGAAGAAGATTTTGGAAAAAAAAATCATTAATAATTGAATTTTTATTCTCTAGTTCAATACTTTTCTTAGTCATCTTAAATTTGTTTGGATATAAAGAAGAAAAATATTTACTTATTTTATTGTGTTATAGATTATTGAGAGGATGTAAATGGATGTTAAAAAATAAAAGCTTTATTATTTTAATAATTTCAATTACATCTATCTTTTAATATATAGTGTAATTATTTGGTGCATTATTTATTTTATTTATGCTATTTACAGCTCTTGGACAATTACTTTTTGGAGGGAAAATCTTTTATTCTGATTAAAATGAAGTTCATTATGAATTAGCAAATTTTAATGACTTTTTATCAGGAATGTGTACATGTTGGTTTTTGCTTATAATTAATAATTGGAATGTAATTTCTTTTAATTATGCAAAAATCTTTAATACTGATTTTGTCTACTTATTTTTTATAAGTTTTTATATAATTGTAGTATTATTTACTCTTAATGTAACTATTGCATTATTGATTGAATACATAGTTTAAAAGATAAATGTAACAAATTAGACAGATTCATAAATACTTTATGATTATTAAACATTAAAATGAATTGATCATTTTTATATTTTTTTATATGTTAAATATCAATATTAATGGATTATCTTGATGGATTCTAATGAAAAATATTATTTTCTAATTCTCTTTTATTCTAAAATAACTTCCTTTAGAATAAAAAAATTATCTCATCTTTTTATTAAAAAAATTCGAAAATTCTAGAATTGATAAGTTATATAATAAATAATATTTTGAAGCTTTAACCAAATTAGAAAAAAATTAATGATTGGCAATCACTATGATATTCTTGGTGTTAAAAGAGATGCTAAATAGCATTAAATAAAGAAAGCATATCATAAATTGGCCTTGAAATGGCATCCTGTACTTATTTTAACTATATTTAGGATAAAAATAGAGAATAACGTGCATTTGCATTAGATCAATTTCATCGAATTAACGAAGCTTATCACACATTATCGAAATTAGAGCTAAAAATTCTATATGATCATTAACTATCTCAGTATGAATCTATAGAATCAATAAAAAATCTAATTAGCTTGTTGAAATAAAATAATTCAATGGATTAGAATAATGACTTTGATTATTCTTATGATAATTTTTTATCTGAAGAAGAACAAGAACTTTTGAGATAATTTAAAAAAAGAATCAACGAGCCTGGAATTTCAAAAAAAATCAGAAAATCTCATTGATGATATTCATTAATTCATATTTTGTTAATGTTCTTTAGTTTAATTATGTATAAATTTGCAATATATATCATATTATTTATATATTAATGCATACATTTTAACAAAAAAAAATCAATAAAGAGATTGAATAATTAATTAAATTTTTATATAGAATTAATGGACCATCATAAGGATGATTTTAGGATAAAAGAGTCAGTTAGTTTTTAAAAAATTGGTAGTTATGATTAAAGCTAAAAAGGGGAAAAGTTTTTTTAAGAAAATTTGGTAAATCAACTATTTAATGTACTATTAGGAAAATGAATCTTATATTACATAATTGAAATACTAGTTAGAGAACACTTAGAATTAATATGAATTATTGATCAATCAATTCTTAATTTACAGTATGAAATATTTATATTCAAGAGAAAAAGACTGAAGATTTGCTCTAAAATTGTATGGAAATCCCTTAAATAGAACTTGATTAAAATAAAAATTTAAAAGTCGAAGCTCTGCAGATCTAAATAAATTTACAAAACAATGAATTAAGAGAATTGAAAGAAGAAAATCTAAGATTATAAGAATAGTTAAAATCTAAAAAAGAATAATTAGACGATACTAATAAATTATTAAATCATACAAAAGAATAATTAGATGATACTATTATATAATTAAATATTACAAAAGAATAATTAGATAATTCTAATAGATAATTAAATGATATAAAAGAATAATTAGATAATTCTAATAAATAGTTAAATTATACAAAAGAATAATTAGATAATTCTAATAAATAATAAAAAATTACAATGTAATAAGTAGATGATCTAAATAAGTAATTAAATGATATAATAGAATAATCAAGTGATAAAAATAAATTATTAAATTATACAAAAGAATAATTAGATGATACTATTATATAATTAAATATTACAAAAGAATAATTAGATAATTCTAATAAATAATAAAAAATTACAATTTAATAAGTAGATGATCTAAATAAGTAATTAAATGATATAATAGAATAATTTAATGATAAAAATAAATTATTAAATTATACAAAAGAATAATTAGATGATACTGTTATATAATTAAATATTGCAAAATAATAATTAAATGATAATAAGGAATAATTAAATGGTACAAAATAATAATTAAATGATTCAGATAAATTTTTTAATGAGAGAATAGTTTAAAATTTAAAAGGTAAAATAAATAAATGAAATAGATATTACTAAAATTATAATTTAAGAACTGGATTGCATAAATAGATAATATCATACAGAAGATTAGCAATTAGAACTTAGAAAAAAATATGCTAAAAGTCTACTTAAATTGTTCAATGAAAATTTGAGGATTCCCCTGTTGGAAAATGACATAACATTTAGGCATGATTTTAATGATAATAGGATAAGAGGTTAAGATGAAATTTATAAAAAATAATAGAAATGATTAATATTAATAATATAATTATAACAAATAAAATTAAATGCAAAAAATTATAAATTTGTATAGATAATATGATGATCCAGAATTAGAGATAGACCTTTATACATAAGCAAGAAAGGTAAATATATATAAGAAGAAAGAGCTTGAAAACACTTAAAAATTAAAGTTTAGAATTATATGTTGTATCAAAATAATGGCTTCGTTAGTGGAAATATTATGTAGAGTATATTTAAGGGATTGCTCCTTATGAAAGAAGAGAAAAGGTATTAGATTCATTGATTAATTAGCCTGGAGCATTAAATAGTGAATTAAAATCAGATGAGAATTTTCTATTTAAATATCCAGGAGAGCATCCTTTTAACTAGAAAATCATAAAATTATAGCCAGAAGATTATGTCTTAGTAAAATATCAATATAAATAATTAAAGGTTAATAAACAAATTATTAATTTGTGGAGTGCTCGATATAATGCAGATTTGATTATATTAAAATAGGTACGTTTTAATTCGTAAGGTATTGCTTCATTAAATGTAAATTTATTAAGAGTAAATCTCATTATTAGTTATAAATTAGCAATCTGTATATATAAATATATAAACTCCAAAAAGAGGAATACTTTAAGTAGATGAAGGTTGCATTATAAAAATGTGGATAAAGTTATTAATTGCAGCTATAAAAAATGAATTCAAAATAAATGTTGATAATATAAGATTATGGAAACACAAATATTATTAAGCTGATTATGCAGTTAAATAGTTGGAAGAGTATTAGGGACGATTTAATGGAGAAATTTTAGATGAAAATCTAACTGTTGGTTAATATAAAGCTGATTTAATTATTATAGATATTTAATTAAATGGAAAATGGTAATATGATTAATTAGATGTTAAAGTATTATTTATTCTAATTATAGTTAGCATGCTCTGCATAATTTAAATATTTATATGAGAGAGCATAAAAAGGATGTGGTAAATTTTTATGTAATAAAAATTATTGTATGAGTAATCCAAGTTTTGCATAAATAGGATTTGATAAAAAAATGCTTTAAAATTTTCTTATTGAATAATTTAGAGATGATGCGATTGATTGGACAAATGTATGCTGGAATTAGGTTATAGAATAAAAACCTATTTAATAATTAGAAGGAGATATAGTTGTTGCTATGAGTGCATTATCTAATTTTCCAAATAGTTTTGGAGCATCTTTCATTCAAAATTTTAATAATTGTTTTGATATAATTAATTACAATAATCCAAATCCAGAGTTGAATTTTTAAGTTATTAAATAAGTTAATGAAGTAATAAATTAAAAAATTTTTGTTTAATGGATTGAAAATCTAGCTTCAAACAAAAATGAAAACATTTATTTTGTTAGATCAATAATTATCATTATGCATTTTAAATACTTTAATGATATATTGAATTAAGAAAAAAATCCAATTCTAGAAACTTTTTTGACTTTAAATAATTAAGATAAAGAGCTATTGTCAAAATATTTAACTATTTTACCTGATGAATTATATATAAGATACATTTAAACAATCGTGGAAACTTTGGGAATTTTCTTAAAATAATAATCAAAAAAATAAATTTAATTATTGAAAAAAACAGAAATTTAATTTGTTAAGTAGATGTTAGAATTTCTGTAGGTATTTTATAAATCTAATATGATTGTTAAAAGATTAAATCCAATAAAATTTTAAATAGCAGAAATTTCTAAATTATATCCAAAATATGGTGATTAATTGGAATATTTTTAATTTGATAGTTATATAAAAAATGATTTAGAAAAATATTATTTTACATTTTGTCAATATCCATGGGTTATACCTTTAGAATTTAGAAGTGAAATATTAGCAATTGATTCTAGAATGAATTAAAAAAGTTAATTTGAACGTTTATTAACATTTTAACCATATTTAAAGTTATCAATAGATCGTGTTGATGTTGTTAAAAGTGCATTAGAAGCATTATCAAAAGATAATATTAATTTAAAGGCTAAACTTCAAATAGTTTTTTAAGGAGAATAAGGAATTGATCAAGGTGGATTAGCAAGAGAATTTTTCTCTTTGTTAACACAAAAGTTATTTGATTTAAATTTTGGAATGTTTGTTCCAAAAAATAATAACACTATATTATGGTTTAATAAATATAATATGGAAATGCCAATAAAATATGAATTAATAGGAATGATTTTAGGATTGGCATTATATAATCAAGGTATAAATTAAAATTTAATTAGTTTATTTGGATCTATAATTTCCATAAGTTGTTTTTAAGAAATTAATGAATGAACCTACATGTTTTGAAGATCTAAAAGAGTTAGATTTAGATCTATATAAAGGTCTAAATACACTTGATGAATATCAATAAGATAATATTGAAGAGACTTTTGGTCTAAATTTTACTATAAATGAAATAGCATGGGATAATATCACTACAATTGAATTACTTGTATGGATTTTTTTTTTAAATTAATTTAGCCTAATGGAGCTCAGATATTAGTAACTTAAAAAAATAAACATGAGTATATTAGATTATGCACCAACTATTATTTGAATGAGTCAATCTAAATTCCTTTCAATTCTTTTTAAAAAGGATTTTGGAAAGTTGTAGAAGGAAATGGAATTAAATTATTTTCAGGATCTGAATTATAATAATTAATTGTTGGATAATAACACTTTAATCTCTAAGAATTAGAGGATTCTACAGGATATGATGGATTTGATAAGAATTCTGAATATATAAAGTAATATTACATAAACAACTTATTTTAGATCCTTTTGGGCATTTTTACATTCATTAAATGAAGATTAATAGAAAAGATTTTTATTTTTTTGCACTGGTTCAGATAGAATTCCTGTTGGTGGATTGAAATCTTTAAAATTTTTAATTTAGAAACATGGAGAAAGTATTATTTATTTTTCTTATTTTAGATTCTGAATAATTGCCATCAGCTCATACATGTTTCAACGTATTTTTATTGCCTTAGTATAATTCAATAGAGAAAATGATAATGAAACTTTAAATTGCTTTGTAAAATTGTGAAGGATTTGGTTTAATGTGATCTTTGTTAGGTTAAGTAGAATTAAATATATAGAAATATTTTATATATATATATCAATTCATTCTATTTTATTATGAGTTCTAACTTTTTTGTTTATAATCTAAAAATTTTTAATAAAATTATTTTTACTAAAAATAATTATAATTAGACTTAAGTGGTAAGATTCTTTTTAGATTTTTTAATCAAGAATAGGGAAATCAATTATGATCATATAAGAATGATTTTTTTCAAAGATTTTGATATCATATCATATCATTAATTAATTAAATATAATTGTTGATTTTAAAGGTGAGATGATATGAATTTGAGTAGATAAGATTTCTTTTTTTTATCAATAGCACTAACACTAAAAGCCAGAAAAGTAATAAATAATGCTTGATTATATTATTTATATATATATATATAAGTTTAATATTATATAAATAAAATAGAGTAAAAGAGTTATTATGATAGTCTAATCATACAACTTTTCGCTAAAATATGATATTGTAATGAGTGCATCTGGTAAATTAATTGGAGATACTACTTCGTTAATTGGATACACTTCAATTGGTAGCATTCTCATATTTCAGAATAATACATCAAATTTCTTAAATGTGAAAAGAGAATTTAAATGTTTAGATGTTATGAGTCAATGTCTTGTAATGGCTAGTGAAAATACTTTAACTATTCATGACGTTGAAAACAATTTTGATTAATGTTTCATTGAAATTCCTGATGGTATAAATACTTTAGCCATTGGATAATTTCATAATGGCAAATGTAATTAAGATATAGTATTAATTGGTGGTAATTGCACTCTCTAAGGATTTAATGTATAAGGAGAAGAAGTATATTGGAATGTTGCAAGTGATGAAGTTGTCTCTTTATGTGTCTTTGGTTTTGATAATGAAAATTATATTGCTGTTGGAACTGCAGATAATTGTGTAAGACTCTTAAAAGGAGAGGAAACAGTATTCTCATTTAATACTTAATCTTTACCTACATCTTTTGCTGGCTTAATCTATTTTGATTAAACATATCTTCTGACTGGAATGGAAAATGGATCTATTAAATTACATAGACAATAATTAGAATTATGGCATAATAATGAAGAATAAGAAAAGATTTTTAAACTTATTTCTAATGATGAAAATCATTTCATTGTTGGAAGAAGAAATGGATAAATTGAATTAAGAACTTTAATCTCTGGTTAATTAATACAAAAATTAAATTGTGATGAATTATTAAGTGGATTTCTCTACTCAGATCTTAGAGGAGTAGGAGTTAATCAAATTGTAGCTGTCTCTAAATAAGGTAATGTTAAAGGATTTACTATTGTTGATAAAGATCTTGACAATCTCAATTTGTCTTAAAGTAGAATTCTTACAGAATTAACATAAAAGAAATAGGAGTTGCTTTAATAATTGTAATTAGATAAAATTCCTACAGGTTTAGATCTGAGATGTGGTTTTTAAAAAAATATAGCTAATTAATGTCTAAATTTAGTTTTTATTCTACAAGAACCAGGATACTATATTACGTAAGCTATCATATTTCATGAAACTTATTATAAAGAAGGATACATTATTAATAATCCTCAACCTTCTGATAAATTATTTGCACCCTTAAAATAGTTAGTTGATAATTAGAAGGTGATTTTGAATTGCAAAGTTTTTGTCTCCTAAAATCCTCATGGTAATTACTTTTTAATTTTGGAAACATGTCCCACATTTGCAAAATTTGCTAATTTTTAGTATGTTGATTAAGATCTTAAAATACAATCTTTTGTTGAAGCCAAAATAAATGAAAGAGTTCCACGTTATGTAAAATGGATAGATCAATGTTTTAATATAAACGAGGAAATAAAAAAGAAATTCGAATCCACAAATGAATTTGTTTTCAATACAATTAATATTATTAATCAATAGAAATTACAGATTCATGTAAATAATTTTAATAAATAAATAGTTTGATTCTAAAGAAGGGAAAGTAATTGTTCGATGTGATTCAATTGCTACATGTGGAGATATTATTTAAGATCTTTGTGATTTTATCTAAATTTAAGATTTAATGACAGTAGGACAATTTCCAGTAGAAATGTAAGAGTTTAAAAAGGTACTAGAAACAGTTTAACAACATAAATCTTCTAAATTATAAATATCAGGTGATGTTGCTGAAGCAATGAATCTTGTTAAATCATATATTGTGAAAGCAGAAGATTCTAGAATGATAGGAGATATTAAAACAATGTAAAAAATGTATGCAAATGTAATGGTTCAGAATAGAGCAATATAAACAGAATTATATAAAAAGAAATAAAACAATGATATTTTAATGAATAATTTAAAAGAAGTTAATGCTATGATAAGTAAAGCAAGTTAATTGAGAGTTGGCAATGCTAAAAATGCGATTACTAATATGTGTAGAAATGCTGTAAAAAAGAATAACTTATTAACATTAATTGAAGTTATCTAGTAAGGAAGAGAAATTTGATTTATTATATTTAATTTAATGTAAAACACTTACATATATTGATAGAATGAATAAATTAAGATTTTATAAATAAAATATAAATTTTTCTTTAATTTAACTTATAATTTTCAATTGAGCAACTTTTCTTTAATCTGTTACCTTCTTACAAAATAATAAATAGCAAATGCAATGACTAATATTAAAGCTAATATTAATATGATCCATAAAAGTATATTAATATTATTATCTCGATTCATTCCTCTTTCTTATACAACCCAAAAATAATCTACAACTTTATTCTCAACTAGATCTATTTATTCAAAATATAAATGTGTTTCATTATAAATATATAATATTCCTACACCATCATTATAACCAGTCTAAAATATTGTATATGGTTAACTTGGATCTAATTAATATATAATATTATAATTACAAGGTACTAGAGGAGTATAATATTCTTAACCTGCTGATCCTTCAATAATATATACTGGGGCTGCGGAATTCTGAATTAAATGTTATTCAGGACCATCTGTAATAAGTCCTGTATTTTCTTATGATTTATTATTAATAAATGGAGCATCTCTTTCATAATTATGCTAATGAGCAGACATATATATAGCAACACCATAATTACTAAATAATTTTGCAAATGGTTCAAGTGCTATAAAATTATATGAACACATAGGATCTGTTGCATCACTACAATACATTGGATAATGACTATTCACAATTATCCAAGGTACTTTATATCTATTATTTGTTGCTTCTATTAAATCTTTCTCCATTATCTCAACCATATAATCAATCTCATCTTAATTACTTTCATTATAAACAATATTTGTAGGATTATAAAATATATAATGTACTAATCCCAAATCTACACTATAAAAATTATAATAATTATTTCTTGTATTTAAATTTTATTCAGGAGATAAAAACGATAGTCTATAAAAATCGAATTCATAATTATCTCCAGAATCATGATTTCCTGGAGTTGGTAATAATGGATAATAAGATGAAAAAGTTGTCATATTTCTAAGCCACCAATCTCCCTATTAACAATCCAAAGATTCTAAATCATATGCCATATCTCCTTCAAAAATAAGAACATCATAATCACTTTAATTATTTTAAATTGATTAAAACCAATCAAATGTTTATTTTGATTTATTACCAGTCCAATTTGAATCCATATCTCCAAAAAATATTATTTTATGTATTTGATTATCGTATTCTTTCAAAGGTACTTTAAATTAATATGCTAAACTCTCTGAATTTGCATCACCATAAATTTAATATTAATAAATTTACCCTAAATTAGGTATAATTGTATCATTTAAAGAAACAATATTTATATAGGTTACATAAGTAAAATTGTATTATGTATCTTCATAAATCTGACTCATGTTTAAAGTTCTAATTTCAGATACAGATACCCATTAATCAACACTCTAATTATCATAAATGTGTATGAATCCACTAGGACAATAAGACTAATATAATTAAACTTATAATTACTAAAGTATTATAAGCAATATTAATTATTTCATTTGAATTATTATAATTTGTAAAATAATATCCTAAACTTATTCTTTATCCATATGGTTAACAATTACTTTCTGTATAATCCTATTGAAGCGTATTTTTCTAGACTATTTCTTATTGAACTAATTAATTATTCAAATAGTAATCATATTTCAATTAATTATCATTGATAATAAATAAATCTATTTTTACAATGTTTCTTAGATATTATTTATTTGTCTAAATAAATGAAACATAATAATTCTCTTAAATATTAATATATTTATCATATTCCAAGTGTTACAATCTAGTCATGCAAGTATTTTACCCTATTAATACTGTCCATTTACCAAACTTCTTTTGTAAATCTTTAACAATCTTACCAACATCACATCTATTTATAAATATAAAATGTATAGATTCAATATTTAGATTTATAGTTGTTTGAAAAGCTGGTAAATTTAAAATTGATTTATTATTTATAAGTTAAAAGCTTCCTTCAATTTCTACTATTGATATTGGTTCTTTTCCATATTTTTTTGGTAACCTAAGTAGCAATTGCTTATCTCCTAATGTTATATTGTAATCACGATTGAACTTAATTTGCATACGAGATTCAATTGTAGCTTTATTGATATAATACATCTCATCTATTCGACTGCTTTCATAACTAAGTTTCATCATATTTATTGTAATTGATTTATTACATTATTCCTGTTTTCATTAAATAATTATACATAAGACTTGAATTAAATGAATGCCAATTTTGTACCATTGTTTGTATAATAATCGCCAATCAATATTTGTTCATCAAATATCTAACATTGTTGAGATACTTCTAATTATTATAGAATGATGATGATAAATAAAAATAACATTTATAAATATTCATATATTCAATTTACTTACTAAATTAAATTTTTTTTATATTTATTCTCTTCTAATACATCGATAAATTAAGCATAATTATGAAATGAAGGTGATCACAATTAAAATTATAGTAAGAAGAAAAAAATTTGAAAACTTCTTATTATTTTTTTTTGTTATCCAAAATTAATCAATACTTTAGTTATTATTAGATAATTTGTGTTAGTAAAATAAATGAGTTTCATTATGAATAATTAATTCTCCAAATCCTATTTCTTTGGATTAGAATGCTATTTCAGATGAATTAATATTAAAGTCGTCAAAATTCCCATCATTTCCACTATTTCCTTCGATAACTTAGATAAATGAATTAAGATTTCCCTGTAGATATCTTTAATATATATTTGCATAAGAAGAAAAAACCAAATCAACTTTATACTTATTGAAAATATTTATAAAGTCTTGTAAATTATTAATGAGAAATAGGCATTAAGAAATTCCTGAACATTATAGAGGATAATGGGTATATACTATAATCCAAGGTTATTTATTTCTTTATAAATCTTCTTCCAAAAGATCAATCAATTATTATTGTGAAAAACTTAGAAATATTAATTAGAAAGGATTGAATTAAATAAAATGAGCAAATCCTATATCATAACTATAATATTCAAGTAAATCAAGTCTATAATCTGAAATTACAGGCATTTAAAATTATTACTTAATAAAATTAAACTTTCTTGATTATCCAGCATCATAATTCCCTGGAGCAATCATAAAAGGATAATGTGAAGTAAAAGTTGATATATTTTTTATAAAATAATCACCTGTTTAACAACTTTCATCTTCCAAATTGAAAGCCATACTTCCTAAAAATATAATTGCATCAAATTATTAATAGTTTTTCACAGAACTTTCTAAAAAGTTAAATGTATGTTAGGAATTATTTAATTTCCATTATGAATCTAAATTACCTAAGATAATAAATCTGCTTAGCTTTTATAATCCTGAATAATAAATCATAAACGGACCATAAATGGATTTCCCCTCATGTACGTAATAATTGATTGAATAATTATATTGTAAATATTTAATCCCAATTTTAAAGGTGTGAATAAATGTATGATAATTATTACAAAATGCCATCTCATTTGTTGAGACAAGACTCGTTTCATATTCATAAAATGTCTAATTTTCTAAAAGAAGAGCAAATGAAGATTTACAAGGACCCTATTTTTGCTAGTAAAATGTACCTCTGAATTAAATGTTATTCTGATGACATCTTATTAATAATGTAAATTAGAATAATAATGTCCCAGAGATTATCGAAAGCCATAAGGATTGCAAATTCTTGCTTTAATTTCTAAAAATTATATTAGAATATTTAATAAAATAATCATTACATAACAAATCAGTCTACAGTCATAATTAATGAGTCATCCAATAACTTCTTTTTTTGTTTCTTACTTTGATTCTTTTTAAAATAAATCGAAACCCCAGTAATTACCATTAAAATAGCAAATAAAACCCACATAACAATCTCAAAGATATCTCGATTTGATGTTATTTCTTAGCTAGAACGCTCTAGCCATATAGAATCAATAATTTTATTATTTGAAACAGTAATATGTTAGAAATATAAATGAGTTGAATTTTTAATTGTAATAATACCAATTCCATGATCAGGATTTTAAATCTCCATAAATGGTCCATTTGGATATGTTTAATTTTATGTTCCATAATCAGTTCCTCCAGCTCCTTCTATTATCTACACAGGATATGAATATTAGGAGATTACATTATCTTTTTATGTATATTTTGATGTAGCATTTTTATAATAAGGCTTATTTCTTTGATAAGTATGTACATGTCCACTTAAATAAAGATCTACTTTGAATTCAACAAAAAGATCTTCAAATGCAGATAAATATTTAAAATTGTTTTTACATTAATCATTTTAAGGAACTGTACAATAAATTGGATAGTGAGTGTATACAATAATCCAAGGTACTCTTTCTCTATTTTGATTGGCTAGAATCAAATCGTTTCTCATTTATTCTACTATCAAATGAGTGATATTATATATATCATTTTGATAAACTGCCTTAATTGGATTGAATTGTATAATGTGAACCATACCTAAATCAAAACTAAAGAAATCATTAAGATAATGATCAGTATTGTAATCTTTTAAGAATAAAGAACCAAAATTAGCTCTAAAGAAATCAAAGTATGTATTATTTCCCCAATCATGATTACCAGGAGCAGCCATAAAAGGATATCTCTTTGTAAATACTGATATATTTCTAAGCCAATAATCACCCTATTCACAATTCTTAGATTCTAAATCATAAGCCATATCCCCAGTAAACAGGATCGCATCATATCTTTTATCATCCTTCACTTCATTTTCTAACCAATCGAATGTATCTTTTGAATAATTTTGAATCCAATTTGAATCCATATCTCCGAAAACTAAAATTTTTTATTCATTTTCTGTCATTGGAATATCAAATTTATATGGACCAGATAATATAGAGTTTTTCTCTGAAGTTATAGTATAATTGTAAGATGTGGAAGAATTCAAATTGATATGGCCTAAGCTGATTTTAAATGTATGGATAAAAGTCTCATAAGTAAAATGTGTAGTATCATTATTTTCATATATCTAAGTCATGTTTAATAATTGAGTTTCATAGTAACTCAATTTTGATATCATCAATTTTTCAACTGAAGAATTATCAAACACCTCTAGGATAAACTACTCTTTGCATTCTGTCTAAGAATTATTAACTTAATATACTTATGTATTGAACACTATCCTTATGACATCTTAAGTATTCCTCAAATAACTAAAGTAATGCCCTAAAAATAATCTAATTCCATAAGGCTAACATCCTTATGATTAACTCAATCCAAGTAGTAGGATCATAATTATGAATACCATATTATATGTTGATTTAGAGTAGAAATTAAGATTAATAAAAATTTAAAAAGGTCATGATTCATAATAATATGACATGTATTAGATGTCATAATTTATGAATTTATTTGTTATTATGAAATATTATACTTATGTTAATAATTAATAAAATGATAGATTATAAATAAATATATAATTTCTAAAATGAAAAATAAGAAAATGCTGTGGTAACTATCTGGACATAAATGATGATTAAAATAGTGTGAAAATAAAAAATTAAGAATCATTCTTGAGCTTGTTAAAAAATCAGTGGTTCTTTAATTTCATCCTTAAAATCCATAGTTTGTTCTATTCCAGCTACACCCATCATTTGACAAAATTCTGTAAAACTAATTTTGTTATCATGATTAGGATCAATTTCAAAAATCAATTATTCAATTTTATCATCTGACAATTATCTACCATGTCTTGCTAATGCTTAAGTATCAAAATATTTAAAAACAGACCATAACTAAGTTTTAATAATAATACAATTTACTTTTTCTCTAGTTAATACTCTACGTTCATCAATACAAGCAGCTAGAAAATCACTATATTTAATAACAAGTGGTTTAGTTGATTTAGTAGTTGATGCACCATCATTATCATCTTTATCTTCTTCTAAAACTTCAAAACCTACAAGTTATATCAATTATTCAATTTCCGCATGACTTATATGTGATCCCTAGATATATTAAATAAATCAATACCTCTTCCATCAATGCTTCTTTTAATTCTTATACAGTTATAGTTCCTGAATTATCAACATCTATTTTTTAAAACACTTATTTTAATCTCCCTAATTCTTTTTCATTCATTTAATTGACTAACACTTTCATTACTTCTTTCTTAAATTTAGCACCTATTCTGAATGTTTTAAGCATCTAGTAAATTGATCTTTAATCATCAGATTAAGGTGACTTTATTGAAATTATTGTACTTCTTCCTCTTTACAATTTAACTGGATTTTAAAATTTTCTACGGAACCAAGAATGACGAAGACAATCCTTTGCACTTGGTCTAATATTTGGATTCTTAATTAACATCTTTTTGATCAAATCTTTAGCTTCCTCACTAACATTATTCCAATGTCTCCTATCAAATATCAACTACAATTTATATATATTAGACTATACATTTTAATATTAGATATTTTCATATAATTCTTATCTATTCTTACCATAAAATGGTGGATAACCACATATTAAATGAAATAGTAAAACACCCAAACTCCAAACATCGCATTTTTCATTATATTTACCTTCAATTACTTCAGGTGCCAAATATAATGGAGTACCTACTGCAGCTTTTAATTGTCTAATATATTTTTAATTCTTAATACTTTAGATTGCTCGAGTCAAATTTTATAGCCAATCCAAAATCAATTAATTTTGGTTCTGCAATTGGATCTTTTGTTGAAAATAATATATTCTCTGGTTTTATATCACGATGTATAATCCCTTATTCATGAATATACATAATTGCTGAACATATCTCAGGTAACATGGAATATTTACTTTAAATATTATATTCTAAACTTGACCTTCACTTAAGTTTTTTTAACTTTTTTGTATATGTTCAACCAATTCTCCACCTTCACAATAATCCATTATTATATAAAAGTATAATTCATTTTGATAAACTTCATAAAATTTTATTATGTTTGGATGATCTAACTTCTATAAAACATAGATCTCATTAGCTAACATTGCTTCTCTTCCTCTTACTTTTCTTTTATCTATCATTTTTATTGCATATTATTTAGAATTGTTATTTCTCATTTTTGCTACTAATACCTTGCCAAAAGCACCAATCCCTAAAACTTTACCAAATGAATATAGTTTATGAATATCTGCAGTTGAAGTGAATACAAGATCTTTATTTGTTGTTTGCATAGCCACTATCTTATTAAGTTTTTTTGGTTATAAGCAACCCATAACTTTAATTTATAAATTAATATCAATATACATTATTAGGAATCTTTTTATAAATTAATTTATAATTTTCTACCATACTCCATTTCTTAAATCTCTCAATTTTTCTAATTCCTTCAATTCACAATCATTTGTTTATCCTCCTTCAATCTCTGAAATTATTATATAATTAATCTTATTATGTTTATTTTAACCTTTCAAAAATTATGTTCAAAATTTTTGATTTTCTAATAAAAATATAAACAAAGATATCTTTCATCTTTAAATATTACTATATATCTGAATTGTTACAGTTTACAATTTATCACAAATATTATGTTTAATAATGATGCAACAAATTTTTTATAAAAGAGAAATGCAAAATATATTTAAAGTGATTAATCATTTACAATACTTTTTTGGTGACAAGGTATTATTTAATTTATTTTTTTCTATGGATTCCTTGTGTTAAATTTCTTTACGATACTTTAAAGTTAAGATCAAACACCATATCCTAAAACATATCAAGACTCCTACAAAAACAATAGTTACTATTATTTTTATTAGATGAAATACTTTTTATTGTTACTTAATAATATGTAGGTATAGGTTCTATTACTTAATATATAATCTAATTACAAATATAACCTAACAGCAAAAAAAGCACCATTTTAAGGGAATGGTGTGTTATCAATAATAATATATCTTGCTGCATCTGATACAATATATTGTTCCTAATATTAATAATTATTTAAGCTTGTTTGACTTGTATTAAACAAGAAAAAGCATTCTGTTTCCCAAGAACTATTATAATAAGCCTATAAATAGAAAGTATAACCAGTTAATCTAGAATGAAAACATCATATAAAGCAGAATCATTATATAGTTTGGATATTGTAAAAGATCCATTATGGGCAATTTATGATTTGACTTTATAGTCAATTTGATTGAGTTCAATAACAAAGTAATCGTATCTATCGATTGATATTCCTTTGGAATGTAAGATGTAAATGGCTTAAACTGAAAGTAAATATAATGCAAATAATAAAATCATTTATAAAATATTTAAATTAATTTTCTTTGTTATCTGTTTTTAACGATAGGATTACTTTTCTCTAAATAAATGTTGCTAATGATATCAGCTTATGATGCAATTTTACTTTATCCCAATGTTTTAATAGGTTAGAGATTTGATTTACTTGGTTGTATGCTCAACTTTTTTGAGGTATTATATACACTATGAAGAGTATTAAATTTGAGATTGGGATGAGATTTGGATTAGGTTTTCTTCTGTATTTATAATTATTGTGGTTAACGAATATCCCCATTTAATATTGATTTAAGTTTTTTAGTTGCTTATTCATTTTATTTATTTAAGGGCTTCGAATATGATTTAGTTATCGATAAACTAGATTATTATGTATAAGATTTGATCTATTTAGGTTTTGAATTTTGCTAGGATTAAAATTTATTTAAGAGAGAAATCAAAGACTACTATTCTTCTTCTCGTTTGCTCATAGTTAATTGTAATAATTGAGTAAATTGTACATCAACTTGATTACTATTCTCAGGTATCAAAATTTTTAATTTATATTTGATTTTTGTGTAATGATACTCTCTAAATATTGAAGATGATACTTTCTTAATTTATTGTAAGTCTTCATCATTTTCGATAATGGAAGCATAAACAAATTAGGTATATCCAATCTGTATTTATAGTATTCTGTTAAATCTATTAATTTCGAGGTTATCTCATGATTATTATAGTATTTATTCAGAAATTCTTCATCTTTTATTTCTGAAGATTTCTCATAAAAATCTATAACCCATTTCTTATGTGAATGTTTAATGAGATCATCTATTGTCATCTCATCTTAAGGATTATATTTTAAATAAAGTGCCTTTAATATTTTGAATTAATACTGTTTATAAAAGAGATGGATAATGAATGGTGCCTTCTAATCTTTATTTTTCACAAAACAAACAATAATTATTTTACATTAATTTATTAAATATTATTAAATGAGACCTATCCCTTGGTTTGTTAGATTAGGCATTGATATTTCTATTTTCACAGTACCCATATTGTTTTTGGCAAGTAACTAAACCTCTTTAATTTATAAGATTATCCAAGATTGGGCACACATTTCCTCAATAATAGAAGAAGAAAATATAGAAGAAGAAGTAAATAAAAGTTTTGAAATTACTATAGATTTCGATGAAATCTCATACAGAAATGATAGCACATTGTCAAGTGAAGAAGTAATAAGTTTTAGATAGAGACTTGGATTTCAAGACCTCATTTGATAATGATCAAATATATTAAATAAATAATAACAATCATAATTATTACTCATCATTTAACTATGCTACTGTTCTCTATTAATTCTAAGAAATCGTATTTCAATTCTTATTTATCTAAGAATTATTTTTCATATTTAAAAAATCCCATTTTTCTTTATACTATTTAATTCATTGAATAATTTTAGTAAAGTAAACCTATAGCTATCATTGCTAAAAATACATCAGCAATGATATTGAATTATATATATGTAATCATAAAATAAACTCAAACTTAACAGGTATAATCTAATATACTTATATATGCTCCATATAGTTTTAGATTTCTTTCATTAGAAATTGTCGAAATACCTATTGAAAAATTTTATTTCAAACAATTCTCTCTATAAATTAAATTAATAATATCTTATGAAATATAAAACTTATCCAAAAACTTTATTTTATTTATTTATAATTTTGTATACTTTAATCTGCTTATCAATTAAGTAATAAATATAAGTCACAATATTAAATATACTATTTTAAGTAGCTGATATCATTAGCTTGCAAAATTCATGCTTGCTTAAAAAATCTTAATCATACTTACTTGTAAGATAAAGAAATATTGAAAGGGTACTAATAATCACTAATTATTCTTAATAATTTCATTTTCTTCATTTTGATACAAGAGGAATCAAATTTATAAACCTTGTTAATGGTGATAATCATTTTTTTCGATAAGGTTAAATTTTCCCTCTTTATAATTCTATTATGTGTTATTTTAAAGTTTAGCTAGTTCCCATAAAGATCGTTAAATTAATCGATTATTCTCAATCCAACTTCTTCATAACCTGTTTCACAATCAAATGTTAATTCCAAACCATCACATTAATTTGTACACGAAATCAATATGTGTTATAAAAAAGTCATTTTCATTCTCGAAGTTTTTTTTATTATGTGAAACCAGAATTGAAAAGACTAGTAATCTAGTAATTTTTAACCAACTTTAC